GAGAGGATTCACCAGAGCCAGAGCAGGGAACAGAACAGGCAGACTGACAAAATACACTGCTGAGGGGAGTAGCGGGCACTGCAGGAGAGGTCTGTCACGCCATGTGGGACCCTCGCCCAGCAGTTGGTAACCAAACCGGTGCTGCAGAGGCTGCAGGCAGCTTTGCAGCCCAGCGCTCAACCTCTGCGCCACCAGGGGAGGCCCAGGCCTGATTTTCTTATTTTGCAATCCCAAATAGTCCTCAGGGACTGATCTGTGGTGTTCAAGGAGGCACCTTCAGAAAGCTCATTGGGGCCTTGGACTAGGTCAGGTGCTTTTCATTTTACCCCCACAGTAATATATCCTGACCTTGCCAAAGCTCTTATCACAGATATATAGGCCTGGTGACTCGTTATAGCCCCCACAAGATCGAGAGGCCCAACAGGCAAAGGCATGGTCGTTTTTATACCTCTATGTTATAGTCTATAGGAGATGCTTAATAAATGTTTATTGAATAAGTAAGACAATAAGAAATTCAAGATCCTAGGCCAGACTAGAAATCTTGAGTCAAAAGATTGTGGCCACTAGATTTTTGGAGAGACTGCAGTGTGTCGCACAGAAATTGTGGGCTGGAAAAGGCCCTTGAGGTTGCCTCATTCAGGAATTTTCAAACTTCTTATAACTAGAATAATATGTAAAAATAGAGCAGCAGAAAAGATAAGGGTGGGAGATGATGGAAGTCCTATTTGTAGAATTTTCTCAGTGGCCCTGACACACAGTAAAAACCAAGTTTGTAAAAATGATTGAAGTAGTCTAATATGCCATTTGTACAGGCCAGGGGAAGGGTGCTCTTGGGCAGAAGTGACTTATTCAAGGTCACACAACTACAGCAGAGTGAGAAAAGGACTCTGACCTGACTCCTATTCATAGAATGTTCTATTGAATCCAGCCTCAGAACTACCTTTGCATCTCTCCTGCAAATGTCTAAAATTCTACTAACCAAAATAAAGTATCATCCCTATTGTGACATATTTTAAAAGTAAAATTAATTTGACAGAAAAGAAATTACAGGGCTGAAGGAGTATGACATACTGAGCTGTGTGATAAGACTTTAATGTGAGGTGGTGATTTATCTTTGAAGCTCCTAGGGGAAACTGAGTTACCAGAAATATTGACATAGAGGCAGGAAGTGAGATTTTTTTTCAGGTGTTAGTTCTTATGTGGCTCTGTGACGCCTTGGAACAGTTTGTGGGATGGGACATGAGCCACTCCTCTTGCTGACTTCTTTTCAGTATCTTCCTTCCGTCCCCAGTTCAGTGTGTTAAAGGCAGGACAATTGTCAGAGGAGCCCCTGAAACCAGCATGGGATTGAAAATGATCAATCTGATTGGAGCTCCTATGGGCACAAGTCAGGTCTGAGCCTACGCCAGGGCCAAACCTCGATCGGTATAGGTGAGGTCAGGCACCCAGTGAAACAACAACCAGTGTGAGACTAAAAATGGACCAGCATTGGAATTCAAAATGGACACATTTGGTTAGAGTTTGACCAGCGCCAATCAAACAGCTGGGATTAGAGCCCTCTGCCCCTGGTGGTAAGTTTTGAAGCCCAACCGCAGTATAGGTCAGATTGGACACACTGCTGCAGTTCAACAGGCACCCATCACGTAGCTAGGACTGTAAAACGGATTAATCAATTTTGAATGGCAAACACCCTGAAGAGTATATAAGTCAGGTTCCAGTCAGTTTCCACTCAGGCAGCCTCCTCCGTACTCTCCCCAGGAAGACCTTTGTAGAACTGTAACACTGGTCCCAACCTCTGACACATCTGACACCAACCCCTGGTGCTGTTGCCTTTAGCACTGGTGTCCAGTGCTGCCCATCCCAGCCCTTGGATTGCTTTTGTTGATGCTGTGGTGCCACCATCACAGAGAGCTTCACAGAGACCTTTGAGACCTTTGCATTGGATCTCTGCTTCAAACCACAACCTGACCATTGCTGACTCTGGCCCTGCCACTAACTCTTCCTCTCTCCCAACTTCTCTCTTTCTTCCCTTTGTAAATAAACCCTGCTGTTGTTGAGCCCTGAGCTGGAGTCATGTCCTACATTTGCAGTTGGTTTTTATTTGTTTGTATGTTTGTTTAGAGATTTATTTATTTATACAAGAACTGGGATACAGGTGCAGGAGGGTTGAGAGAATTCACCAGAGACAGAGCAGGGAGCAGAACAGGTAGACGGACTGAAAATACTGCTGAGGGGAGCAGCGGGCAAGACAGGAGAGGTCTGCCACGCCTTGTGGGTATCTCCCTGGCCAGCCGGGAATTGAACCCACACTGCAGAGACTGCAGACAGCTTCACAGTGCTGCACTCAACCCACTGCACCACCAGAGAGGCCCTACAATTGCAGTTGTAAGTGCAGGGATGAGAATGCACAAATCATAACATTTTGGCTCCCACCTTAGCATTTCTTTTTTTTTTAAATTTTTATTATGCAGGCAAGAGGTGCATGGGGTGTGAGAGGATTCAGCAGAGACAGAGTGGGGAGCAGAACAGGTGGATCTGCTGAAATACACTGCTAAGAGGAACAGCAGGAGAGACAGGAGAGGTCTGCTGAGCCAAGTGGGTTAGCTCCCTGGTTGGGGATCGAACTCATGTCATAGAGGTGATAGCACTAAGACTTAACCGCTAGGCCACAAGGTAGGCCCCCATTTACACAATTTCAAATGAATCCTCATACCTACAAGGCAAGTCCAAACTCCTCAGTCTGGCATGCAGCCCAGGATTCTGCATCTCTCTGGAAAGGACCAAACTAGGGGAAACCAGGTTTAGCCAGTTGGTGGGTCTTCACCTGCCTGCTTAAAGACACAGGACATGATCCAAAAGCAGACACATGGTGAGAAATACCGGTAACAGGATTTATTTACACGGAGAATGAGAAAAAGGAGAGGAGAGAGTGTGTGTTTATAGCCTGGCACACTGCCAAATCTCAGTTTATCCTACTCCAGACAGTGTCCACTGAGTAGATACTATGGTCCAAGCTGAAGCCACAGGGGTAAGCTGGGGGCTTCTCCACAGAAACTGTTACAGGGCAGCCCCCATATAAAATGGGTTGCCTGGCTGTGGGTCCTCATCTGCACACCTAAAAGGGACTTATTAATACTCCACTGCAGGCACACACAAAAGTTTAATAAAAGGTTTATTTACAAGGGAAGGGGAAATCAGGAAATGTACAACTCAGGGAGAAAATAGGGAAATAAAGTCTTAAATGAATCCTACCTGATCTGCTGACCTGGAAACCCAATGGCACTCTGAGAGCTGGCAGAGAGCCAAAAGGGAGCCCCCCAAGGTCTGGTTTTATACCAAACCTGGCTGCTTAGCTCCACCCTCAGATTCCAGCAACCTTCCCTTTGGTGGTGATGGGATTTGTCTTTCCCAATGTCCTGATGGTTTTGGTCTGGAGTGGGGGTGGAGTCCACAAAGCCTATATGGGATTAGCTCAGGACATCCTTTTCCCCCTAACAAAACCAGCCGTTTAGTCATCATAGCCGTAGCAGCTTAACTACCCCAAATCCCAGCGTCACCCCTGTTTTCTATAAGTCCCTGCTAAGGGGGTATAGTCTAGAGTTGTCACCCACTGGCTCCTAGGTTGCTCCCCACTGTTCCTCTTACATTTCCACGCCTCTCACTGATACCAAATGCCAGCCTCAGTTTTCCCCCAGCCAATAAAAGGGAACAGAGTTTGAGAAGGAAAGTAGTTTAATTTGTCGGCAAACTGAGGAGGGCAGAGGATATTTGTCTAAAAGATCATGGTCCTGCTTTTTGGCAGAGTGCAGGGGTATTTATACAAAGGAGTAAAAAGAAGGGGAGATGGGTAAGGGTGGGCACAGCCTTTTGGTGCAGGCATCTGGAGATCTAGGAAGATTGGCCAGCTCCAAGAGGTTGGCAGCTCTACTTTGTTAACCCCCTAGTGTTTAATTTCCTTATTATCTTCTTAGGAATGTTCTTTCTTTTCAAGACAAGCTTTTAAAAACTTGTTAAATGCAAGAGGCTTATCTGGTGGGGCAGGAAGAGAAAACTATTCAAGTATCTGCATCATCACCCCCATCTCTAGGGTTATTCTAAATCCCGACTTTGCCCAGCTAGACTATGTCTCACTCCCCCCACGTAAAGACGCTTGATTTATGCACTTTAATATCAACGTACCACAGGGGCAGGCCCCGGGCATACTGTGGTGAGTCCAAAAGTCATGAATTTCTGAAACCTCCAATAGGTTGTCCCTGAAAAACAGGAGGTGCTACCTCCTTTCTTGCCTTCATGGAACTTTCCGGCTACTCTAGATGCTTTCCCCTAGAGCTTTCATTCCTCACATTTGTGCCTGGGACTCGCTCAGGAGAAAGGCGGCCAAGGCTGTTCCCCCCACAGGGAGAGGGTCAGTTAGTACTTAAGTTTCTTGGCCGCGCAGCGTCTGCAGGGAACGAAGTAGAACATCTCCCGAGATGGGCTCGCCTGGGGCCGGGTTGCCATGGCAACCACACAGCGCACCCCCCCACCCCACCCCTTCCGCCACTGTTGGTCCTGGGAGGACCGGCGGGCGGCTCCAGCCTGCGTCTCTATGGTTTCCACAGCCTAGAAAGACCCAAACGACATTTCCGGGAAGGTGGCGGCGCCCGTGTCGGATCTGGCACGTGTTTCCGCGGAGACGACCCAGCCTGACGGTAAGGGAGGCGCGACCCTCCCCTCATATTGGCAGTAGCAGAAGCTCGACCTCAGGAGCAAATGTGAGAGCTGGAGAGTAGTTTTCACGCGCGTGAAGCTGAGGCAGGAGGGCTGCATTTGAGACCTGGTGAGAATGGCCGGCTCTAGAATCGCTTAAGAGTGGCCCTGGAACACTTGTTCTCCAGAACTTAACAAAAAATTCGAGTTGCCCGGAACGGAGACAGTTCTTGAAAGTGTACTCGCAGCCTTGACGCAGACTGAGACGCACAGGCTGGGACCTAGTTGCCCGTGTCGTGCCCACTGTAAGCCGGTTAAAGCAGATCCGCATTCTGATTCCTAGTACTGTGTTAAGTGCACTGCCCCTGACTTTCAGGGTGTATCGTTTCGAATTACTGCGACAGAGATAGACTGTGGTAAGATTATAGCAGAAAGCACAGTGCTATAGGAAACTGAGGAGTGAGTTCCGGAAGGCCTGAGATCCTGATCCTCTTAACTGCCAGCTCTTTTATTTGGGCAAGTAACTAAATCTCTTTTGTGTCCTTTCTTCATTTGTCAATTATGACAACACTTCATAATAGGGTAGTTGGAAGGCTTGAAGAGACAATCTGTGTGAAGCTCTTAGCAACAGCTTGGCATTGAGTAAATGCATCAGTGTTATTGTTAATGATTATGATGATTGGAATCTAGCACCTGACAGATCAGAGAAGCAGCAGAGTTTTGAGGAGTCCTTAAAGGACTTAAGTGTTTGAATTTTACTTCTCTTACAGCATCAAGAAGCAAGGTTGTGCCATTTCTTCACTCAATGCTTTTCTGTTGGTACTCTCAAGTTATCTATTAGGTTTTCAGGTAACTGCCCCTCCCAGTAGAAATGTGAACAGAAATACAAGCCCTCCTGAATTTGCTGTTCTTCATAGCTAAGCAGAGGAGTTACTTTTGTTTTGTTTTGGATTTTACTTGTTTTCCTCTTCCCCATTCCCTCCGGTAACCAGCATATTTTTCAAAGTCTAAAAATTATTTTTGTTGTGCTTTGCCAGTTCGTGTTCTTTGGTTATTTATAGTCCACAAATAAGTGACACTTTCTAGTATCTGTCTTTCACTTTCTGACTTATTTCACTTAGCATAATCACCTCAAGAGCCATCCATTTTGGACCCAAGTGGTAGGGTCTCACCTTTTTAAATAGCCAAATATGAGCAGCATTCTTTTCTTTTCTTTTTTTTTTAAGATTTATTTATTTATTTATACAAGCACTGGGTACAGTTAGAAGCCAGCTTCTAACTGGGTGAATTCACCAGAGCCAGAGCAGGGTACAGAACAGGCAGACCGATGAAATACACTGCTGAGGGGAGCAGCGGGCGTGGCAGGGGAGGTCTGCGTGCCATGTGGGACCCTCGCCTGCGGCCAGGGATCGAACCGGTGCTGCAGAGGCTGCGGGCAGCCTGGCAGCCCAGTGCTCAACTACTGCGCCACCAGGGGAGGCCCAGGGCAGCATTCTTAAACTTAATCATATATAATGTTTAGGAGGGATGACTTAATGATGTTTCTGGTTTTTATTTTAAGCATGTTTACTATACCTTCTTTAACTCAAATAGAAGTTTAACCCTTCAGAATTGTCACTTTGGGAGGCTACTGAATTTCTCCAGTAGTGCCCTTGAGATTTAAAAAATGGTCTGCAGTGCCTATAATAAATTATGTTTTTTTCCTAAAAGGTTTATTTATATATGCATACAAGAACTGGGGTACAGACCAGAGGTGTTGGGGGGTGAGAAGATTCACCAGACAGAGTGGGGAACAGAACAAGCAGATTGATTGAAGTACACTGCTGAGGGGAGCAGTGGGAGAGTCAGGAGAGGTCTGCTGTGCCATGTGGGTTGCTCCCTGGCTGGCTGGGGATTGAACTTGTGCTGCAATGGCTTCAGACAGCTTCATAGATTGTGTCTTAATCCCTCACGCCACCAGGGAGGCCCATTAATACAGGTTAACTTTAGTGAGCCCAACCGGCAGTAGTAGTCTTAGTTTTGTGTCATGTGTGGTAAGTAAGCCATTTTAATTATTTTAGAGGTAAATGTGGTATATAAATTGGATATTATTCTGTGGTTCAAAAGCATGAGCGCCTGAGTGACTATAAAGAAATGCAACTAATTGATGATGTGATAGAAAAAGGAGTTACTTTGGAGTCAGGCAACCTGAGCACATGTAACCCCAGACAGAAAACCCAAACTTTGTTTTCCTCATTTATAAAATCAGGGTGATACCTTTTGACAGTACTGTTGGAATTAAATTAGGTAGGATGATAATATTTGTAACCCACCTTTTGTGCATTAAATGCTCAATAAGAGTGTCCTCTGAAGCTCGACAGTTTCTAAAGGGGTTTTCCAATGAGATGGAAAGACAGTGGCAGTGAAGGAGAGGTGGGTAGCCCCACACCAAGAAGACAGTGTAAATGCTGGGCATGGGTATAGGCTGTGGGCTCTGTCAAGTACCATTATTTTGTAACTCAGGTTAACAAGCACCTTATTGCTTTGTTTTTATGTGGTGGTAAATTGTGGGAGATATTATCAGGTGATGGTAGAGTGGGGACTCAGTTGCTTGAGTTTGAATTCTACACGTGAGCAGTGTGACCTTGAGCAAGTCGCCTAAGACTTCTTTAGGCCTTAGTTTCCCCATTTGTAAAATGAGAATAATACTTTCCTGAATATAAAGTTCAGTAAGTCTCACTGGGCTGGGAAGATTAAATGAAATAATCCATGTAAAGCCTTAGCACAGGATGGTGTGCCTGAGCTCCCTGTAAATTGAGGTATTATCATACCAGTTCTGCTTGACTTTTTGATGTGTTGATCTCTCTTTGGTCAGACAGGGAGTTGCCCAAGTGAGAGCCTAGGTGAAAGAAATTGCAAGCCTGTAGGATGAGCTGTCCCCGGCCTGTTTGAGCAGGTGGACTAGATCATGGTCTGGGGTGCCCTGTCCAAACAATTTGCCACCACACTGACCATGAGGTGCCACGATAGATAAAAAAGCATTAGATGCTGACTAGTGATTATCTCATTTTTTCCTGGAGGGAGAGAGCTGAGAGCCCACACGTACAGCTGGAATGTACCCCGTCTGCACGTGCCTGGGTGTAGCCCAGTCTAGAACAAGCTGTGACTGCTCTGCTCTGCCCCGCCTCAGCTCTCCACCTTGCCTCATGAACCTATCCTTTAAATATCTCCTCCTGACTCCCTTGAGGAGCCAAGCTAAATTTTCCTTTCAGGCACTGGTTCCTTCATGCATGAGTCTCTAATAAAGCCTTGCCTGATTCAGCTACACCTAACTCCCTCTGGTGAATTCTTTACCTTAAAGGCAAAGGAGCCCCTCTTGGGTGTTGGGACCTGTAACACAAGGACCAGGGCTTTGCCTTCCTTTGTCTTTGCCCCAGGCTCAGGAAAGGATTTTTGTAAGAGCAGTCAGGATGGGGTTGATGGATGATTTGGGGGCTTCCTCCTTTCTCCTTTCCTCTTAAAGGAATGATAGTGACCTCTTCTTTGGTGAAGGCTCAAGGACAGTGATTCTCCTTACCATGAGTATCGCCCCAGAAGTCAAGAGTCGTGGGATGAAGTTTGCTGAGGAGCAGCTACTAAAGCATGGATGGACTCAAGGTAATTCTTCCACCCCCACCCCACTCCCTGCTGACCCTTTGCTCCAGGAAGCAGTAGCTCTCTGGATTACCCCATGTAGCCCATTCGATAGTAGAAGGAAAAGCTCGCTTAAAGGGAAGTTTGTCAAAGAATCAAATGTCTGGGCCTCCCCGGTGGCACAGCAGTTGAGCGCTCGGCTGCGAGGCTGCCCGCAGCCTCTGCAGCGCCGGTTCAATACCCGGCCACCGGCGAGGGTCCCACATGGCACGCAGACCTCTCTTGCCGCCCGCTGCTCCTCCCAGCAGTGTATTTCATCGGTCTGCCTGTTCTGTTCCCCGATTTGGCTCTGGTGACTTCTCTCACCCTCCTGCGCTTCTGACTGTACCCAGTGCTTGCATAAATAAATAAATAAATCTTTAAAAAATAATAATAATAAAATGTCTGACTTCCAGAAAAGGGAAGAGTACGAAAATTTTGACGTGAGTAGTGAGAGAGAAGTGTAAAGGGGGTCTGGGAGAGGGGGGAAGAGACATGACCTCTATCCTGAGAGTTGTGAAGGAAAAGATAATCTGGGCTCAGACAAAGGCAGGGGCCTGCTTGGAGAGGTACTGCAAAGAATGGGCCCAGTGGTAGGTGTTGGGAATGGCAAGCGGTGGCATGTGTTGAAAGTGCTTTGTGAGGGCTCAGTGCAGGCAGCTGAACAAGCCAAGTCACTTCCTGTCCTCTGCAGGCAAAGGCCTGGGCCGGAAGGAGAATGGAATCACCCAGGCCCTCAAGGTGACGCTGAAACAGGACACTCATGGGGTAAGACTGGGAAGGCTGGGAAAGGGGACCCTTATGGACAGGGGATCGGTCCTCACAGGTTAGACTTTTTCCTCTGGCAGGTGGGACATGACCCTGCCAAGGAGTTCACAAACCACTGGTGGAATGAGCTTTTCAACAAGACTGCTGCCAGCTTGGTAGTGGAAACGAATCAGGTATGAGCTCTATAGACAGGCACATGACAGGATCTGCGCCTAAAGACAGGGTCTGGGGCATGTGGGGGGTGAGGGAGACATGGCAAGACCCACTCACGGATACTTCCCCACAGGATGGTGTACAGATAAGGCACCTTTCTACGGAGACCCCCCGGCACAATCGTCCCAAGCCCAATTTGCTGTATCAGAAGTTTGTGAAGGTACTAGAATTGGGGGTGAGAGGGGCCGTTCTTTTTTCCTTCCATGGTTTCCCTTGGGGCCTTTTATGTGCTACCTATTTTCAGGACTGTCCTAATATGGTGGGAACATGCTGTTGCTTAGCCTGCCAGAGCCTCAGCGAGACTTGAGATCTTTGGACTACATGGAACTACCAGCTGTTGAGCAGGCAACAGTGGGGAGTGGGACGTAGAGCCCAGTCAAGAGCAGAGTTGGGGAGGGAGAGGGTATCTGATTCAAAAGGACTCAGAAGCCATAGGAGACCTGAGATATTATCTGGCTCATCGTTATTTTGCAGATGTAGCCAAAAGGGAAGAAGTGGCTTGCTGAAGAGCCCCAGCTGGCTAGTAACAGCAGACAGGCTGACTACCCAGGCTTCCAGGTCTCCTAATAGGAGGGCGCTAACATTGTGGTCACCTCTGACCTACCAGGTCCTTCTGTTTCTCTTTATCCCTGTGGCATCTCCTACCCCAGTTCAGACCATCATCATCTCTTGCCTAACTACTTCCACAGCTACACATCTGGACTCTTCACCTCTAGTCTCACTCCCTACCCTACCCAGTCTGTCCTCCACCAGGCATCCAGAGTACTCACCCTAAAACACAAGTGTCACTGGCTCCTCTTTGACCGAGGATGACACAGTACAGATTTATCAGATTGGCTCACATGGTCATTGATGCCTGTCCTTCCTTCTCCAGCTTCATCTCTTGCTGCTTCTCTCAGGACCTCACACCTCAGCCATGTGGAATTTGTGTGTTCTTTTTGAAGGAATCATTTTCTCTCTCCTTCAGTTGTTTGGATACCCCCTCTAGCACAGACAACACTTGTCATAATGGCCGTGTTCTGCCACACTCCTTTCCCCTCACCATGTTAGTTCCATCTGTGCTGTTCCCATCTCATTCTTACTCGTCCACTCTATCTCCAGCCGTTTGGCCCATAGGTTCTCAGTTAGTCTGACTAAAGTACTGTGCGAAGGTGTGGGAATGTGAAATGCCATTTTTATTGTCAGTTACTGGTGCCTTGGGATGACACCAGGGGACACTGTCCCACGGTGAAGGCATGACATAGGATATTTCTTCCTCCCTTCTCCTTGTTTGCGCACTTGCCAGCTGTGAGCCAGGGAAGTCAGGGCTACTCACCTGATACCTCCACCCCAGCAACTGCAGCCCTCCTCCTGCCTAGTTGAAGTATGCAGATTGACATGCCTCTTTGTGGGGCTGCAAGGTGTTTGGGTACTGGCACAGGGGTGCCGGTGGCTGTGAACTCCTGGGGGGCTTCTAGGAGAGAAGAGAGATGGCTGTGGTATTGACTGGGCCTTGTCCACCCCATGACCTCTCCTAGATGGCCACGCTGACTTCAGGTGGAGAGAAGCCAGACAAAGACTTGGAGAACTGCAGTGATGATGACAACCAGGAGTCCAAGCCACCAAAGATGTGAGACTTCATTTTAGTGCTGGGGGCATGTGGGAGGAGATGCTTCAAATCTCAAGAGAAAGGACAGAGTCTAACTCTTGGCCGGCTGCTTTGGGGGCGGAAATGTGCTGTGCTAGGCTTTGTGTCCCCTGTACCTAGAAAGTGCCAGGTCATGACCAGGAACTAGGTGCTGAAGGAATGTGTTAGGGGGGCTAGAGGTCAGACCTCTCCACCAGCTCTGTCTTCGTTCTTTCCCCCGCTGTCCCTTCAGTCTGACAGACGAGATGCTGCTCCAGGCCTGCGAGGGGCGAACAGCACACAAGTAAGTAGTGGTTTGCTACTTGGGTTCCCTTTTCGCTGCATCATAAGCCCACCCTGAGGCCTGTGCCACTTCTTCACTCTTCTTACCCCAGGGAACTGAGTCCTCTGTCTGCCTCTCTGTGAAACTGCCTGAAGACAGGTAGCACCTCCTTACCGGCTTTCCCTGGGCTCCGCCCTCTGACTTAGGCCCCATCTGTTTCAGGGCTGCCCGTCTTGGGATCACAATGAAGGCTAAGCTGGCTCGGTTAGAGGCTCAGGAACAGGCCTTCCTGGCTCATCTCAAAGGCCAGAACCCTGGGACACCTCAACTGCAGTCTGAGAGCAAGCCCCCCAAAAAAAAGAAAAAGAAAAGGAAGGAGAAAGAGGAGGAAGAGCCTACAGCAACTGAAAGGAATGCAGAAGAGGAATACCCAGAACACACTGAGCAGGGCATCAGGAAGAAGAAGAAGAAAAGACGACATCAAGGAAAGGCCACAGATGAGAGCGAGGGAGCAGCTGTAGGGAAGGAGGAGGAAGAGGCTATAGGAATAGAGGGCCTTGGGGAATTTAAGAGCCCAGAACAAACCAAGAAGTCCTGTAGGAAAAGGAAGAAGAGGCAACACCATGGAGAGAAGATGGAGGTCTCAGACACAGGAAGAGGTGAAGAGGCTGCAGATGGTGTCAGGGCAGAGGAGGTGGAGAGCACAGCATCTACAGGCCCACACAGAAGCAGCAAGAAGAGGCGGCAGCATGCAGAGGAGAGGGACCTGGACACGGAGGAGGACGCTGAGGAGGCTGTTGTAGGTGGTGGGACCAGGAAAGCAGAAGGCAGAGACTGTGGTAATAGGAAAAACAGAAGCAAGAAGAAAAGACAATGGCACCAAGAGGAGGTCCGGAACGGAAGGGATGACGGCGAGTGCGGAAGGACTGGGGGTGCAGAGAGCAGAGCACACAACAGCTTAAGTGGCCAAGGTAAGAAGAGGGAATGGCGGCAACCAGAGGAGGAAAGATCTGGAGCCAGCTCAGACCAGAGAACCAAAAAGAAGAAACAAAAGAAGAAAGACTGAAGATCAGGACAAGGTGGGGTTCCGTTTCTTTTAAGGAGTTGAAGCCTCAGAGAAACGGGTCTGTGCAAGCCCCCATCCCCTCCATGAGGCATCCCTTCAAGGACGGAACCGCTCCAGAACTGCAGTTGGCCAGAGCCTGAACCCTGGTGCCTAGGAGGACAGGAGTGCTGGGGGCACAGGGCTGCAGCTACCCTCCTAAGGGACATCCCTGCTTTAAAAAAACTGAAAACGTAGACTTATCTGAAAAGCACTGTGAAATATTGTGAAGGCTAGAAAAACATACAAATTTAAGTCATGGGCTGAATTCCACTTACAGTGGCTAGATTCTAACACTATCCTGTGCTTCAATAAACGTTGGCCTAGGCTGCCGGCCTATGTGTAAGTCCTGACATCTTCCCAGCCTGGGGGTCCTGAATACCATTTCACTGTGTCCTTGTATACCTTTCAAGAGGTCACTTCTGGGACCCTCGAGTCTTGCCACATTGTTAAAACTGGAGAACCTCGTTCAGCATCCCTGTCTGCCTCCTCCATGGGTAACAGTTGTGTGCAAAGAACAGCACACCTCACTTAGGAGCCTTTTCCGACAACTGAAAGTCATTTTCACTGCCCCTAAAAGGCTGTAATAACCCCTCTTGCCAGTTCTGTTCTCCCGGAGATGGCCCCATATCTCCAGTGTTGTTTTTTTGGCTCTTGCCACACATTAGTCCTCATTGCCAGAAGAGCTCCGGGGACTCCACAGTTTGGGGAGAGAGAGGAACTAAGTCTTTATTGGGAAGAATGCCCACCCACAGTCCCTCACTGCAGACGGTAGACACACTCTGTGTCAGGGTAGGCTGGCAGGTTCAGCTGGTACTTCTTTTCCAGAGCAGATGGCACGAAACGACCCCCCAGATAGTGGTAACGACCGGTAAACTGAGTTGCAGACTTTTTGGGTGCTGTCAGGGAGATGAGCAGGTCTGGCTGGATACCTCCAGGGTTCCCCTTCTCCACATCCCATCCTGAAAAGAGAGTGGTATTCAGAGTGGAAAAAGCCAGATGTCTAGCCCCTTCTACCCCTTTCCTAGGGTAGTGGGAAGCCCCTTGGGTTCCCACTTGAGGAACTTGCATCCTTGGAGCTCCATGTACCCTTGTGCTTTGTTCTCTGGGAGCCAACATGAAGGAGCACTCCTGAACTTTGCTCCCCAGGCTGTGTGGCTCCAGCTATGGGGAGCCATAAAACTATGCTCTGTTCTCTAAATTGAGCTTGGTTCAGGGTTGGTCTAAGCTTTCAAGAATCAGGACTCCTAATGCCTATCTCAGAACAGGAGAGGGTCAAAATCCATCTCCACCCCCCCCCCCCCATCCTCCTTCGACCCAGCACCTGAGGGAATGTCGATGCTGGCGATAGGCACAGTGAGTCCATTCAGGACATTCAGGATTCCGCGGAATGGCTCCCGAACATCACCCTTGAAGCTGAAGCCAAAGATGGCATCCACCACTAGGTCATAGAGTTCATCGATCAACATGGGCTGTGGTGGAGCAGAAAAAAGGGGAGGATATCAGAGCCAGCACTGCACAAAGCCCCTAATGGGAGCACGGTCTTTTACCCACAGCCACTCGCAGAGGCACAAACATAATTTTATCCCATTTAGATGGTATTCTGTGGCCTAGAGCTAAGCACTAGTTCATCACTGATTGAGATCAAACTGAATCCAGTCACATTTTCTTTTCTGAGTGCCTGCCAGCTCTTGGGGAGATTACAGGGTGGGATAGCCTGAGACTGGGTGTTGGAGGGCCAGGTTAGGGCTCTGCCATGATCTGATCCCCTTCTCTGTCCCCACAGTCTCTTCATCTATAAAATGTAACTCTGGCCTGTGTGGTATAGTCAGGAGAACACAGATTCTGGAATCTGACATCTGTAAAATGTGTTAAGAAATTAAAAACAGGGCAGGGTTGAGCGCTGGGTTGCGAAGCTGCCCGCGGCCTCTGCGGCGCCGGTTCGATCCCCGGCTGCACCGGCGGTTGAGACAGCAGTGCTGGTCCTTCTGAAGCGCTTCTGACTGTACCCAGTAGCCTCTGCAGCGCTGGTGGCGCAGGTTCAATCCCGGCCGGCCAGCGAGAATCCCACATGGCGCGGGAGACCTCTCCTGTCTCACCTGCTGCTCCCCTCAGAAGTGTATTTCAGTAGATCTGCTTGTTCTGTTTCCTACTCTGTCTCTAGTGAATTCTCTCACCTCCCACACCTCTGGCCTGCACCCCAGCCCTTGTATGCATAAAAAATGAAATATGAAAAACAAAAATGAAAACATTCTCAAGTTTCCACCCCAAATACATACTACTGCAGAAAGGGTTTAGGATGAAACTGTCCTTTCAGCCTTGCTAGGGGCAGGTAATATGTTTACTGCTATAAATAGTAAACATGGAATGGGGTGGGGGAGAGAGAATCCAACCATAGAATGAAAGGAATGATGGGGGAGATGCACAGAAAGGAGCCTTAGAGAAGGTGGTGTTGGGACTTGAGCACACCAGATGGAGGTGGCGCTCACACCACTCCTCAAAGAGCATACTTTAAGCACCTGTGTGTGCCAGGCACTATTCCTGCCCTCTTAAGAGTGTATCATACTCTAGAGAGAAAGATAAGCAGGTGAGTTCAGCCTGGAAACTTGGGAAAGAGCAGAAGCCAGGCACTGGTCATCGTAGAGGAGGGTACTGAATTGGAGCCACCTACTTCCGAGGGCATTTCACCAAGGAAAGCGATGTCCATTTTCTGACACTGCGTCACCAGGGCAGTGAAGAGTGGTTTGTTGGGTCTTTTAGGATAATAGATGGTTGGCTGGTAGCCCTACGAGAAAAGAAAAGGAAAAGAGTACTTCAACTCCATCTTTTGGATAGTACCCAAAAAGTGTTCCCCACAGCCCTTCCCCATACACTCACAAAGAGTTTGAGGTGTCGAGCACAGACCAGGCCATCTCCTCCATTATTCCCTGGGCCACAGATAACCAGGACAGTAGGGGGACTCCTGGACAAAGACGTGGGGGGATATGCCTGAAGGCAGAATCAAAGGAAATTCAGAAGGGTTTTGGCCAGCAACAAGCCCGGGCTTGGCCATCTGTCCCAACCACTCCATTGGGCCAGGGGGCTTGCAGTGATTCATCGGGAGTTGCAGCACTGACCTTGGCAATGGCTGTGGCACAGCTCAGCCCAGCCAGCTCCATAAGTTGGTCTACGCTGAACTGGTATTCATTAAATAGCTCCTCGTCCACCGCCTGGGCCTCCTCCTGGCTGAGGAAACCCAAAGCCTGAGTTCCCGCCCTCGGGTGCTCTGACCTGCAGAAGGCGCGGCGGCCCCAGGCCCCGCCCGCCGGAGGGAGACACTCCACTCGGGTCCAGCGCCCCGCGTGTGCCCCGAGCGCCCGCCTCGCCTACCTCAGGTACTTCACCGCGGTGCTCGCCATGACCTCTGGGTCCCCGCGGCCGCCGGAGACCAGCCGCTGCGGCCCCCACCAGGTGGGGCCGGCGCAACAGGCGCCCGCCTGGAGACTGGTGCGCGGCAGGCGCGAGCCCGCGACCAGCAGCCCGAGTCCCAACAGCGCCCGCAACCCGGACATCCAGCTCGCAGAGAGCGGCCCCCGGCCCGCACGGCGCGGCGCATGCGCGGCGCCTCGCCCCAGCCCCCCGCGGGAGGCCAACGCGCAGGCGCTCTCCTGCGAACGGACCCGGAACGCCGGGCGCGCGCCGCCTTCTCTCCGCTGCTGGCTGCTGGGCGGTCTGCGCGCTCGGCTGCGGCCGCGTCAGGGCGCCCTGCTTTGCAGTCGCCTTTCTCGAGAACAAGATTCTGGAGGATTTTGCCTCACGTTTCCAAATGGACCAAAGTGCTTTGCTCCCAACCGCCCTTTGATAACTTATGTTTAGCATAGCCCTTAGCCGGGCTCCTGCCGTTCTGGTAACTAGCTTGGTGACCTTGGCCACCACTGGTTTCAGTTTCCTGCCTGTTAATGGGTGTGAGGGTCCACACAGACTTTATAGAGTGGTTACACAGGCCTGGTACATAGGGCTCAATAAATTAAAGTAATGGTCTTATTTACACTCCAGGCATTGTATGTAACTTAAGATTCTCCCCACTTGCATTCTCCCCACCATACTTTCACTTACCCTGTTTATCAGTATAGCACTCTACTTCCCTAATCATTCTTAATAGTTGTCCCTTTTTATCAAGAAAATAACAATGGAAATAGAAGGTGGTAAACCATAAATAGGCTGAGTATGCCATGGTTAAAAATATAGTTGAAACCATTACTTCAGGTCATCATGATATTTCAAGAAAAACTTGAGGAGGAGGACTCAATTTTTTTTTTCAGGACTCAATTTTTTATCCAAAACTTTAAAAATATAAACACCCTCTTGCATCAGTGAGAAGATGCCATTAGAGTACTAAGATAAAGATAATTATCCAGGTGGAATGAAGGTCCTGTTTTTATGCTAGATATATGTATCCAGCTTAGTATCTTTATCTATCTGTATCTGAAATAGCATTTATATATGTGTGTCTAGAGTATGTATCATGAATTACATGGCTAATTCACTACTTTCACAATCTCCCTTTTAATTGTAAGAGGTTTATCATCAATGGGATGTACCACTGGCCTCCAGCTATGCTTATTTTACGTTTTCTGTAGGGAATTGAATTTATCAGGCTGGCTATAGTGGAAAATTTTATTTGTTGGGCAGTGTCATTGGAAATCAAATTTACTGATCAAATGTACAGTGTAATATACACTGTACATTACAATTGGATGACATTATTCAAGACCTCATTAACTTTATAATTTCATCTGTATATAAGTAGCTTCAATTTTATATATTAATCAAGATTCCCCACAGGCCTGTTTGAAAAAACTAATTTGGTGATTCTGAAGATTCATTTCTCAAACACAATGCAAAGCATGTTTTTTGGTCAAAGATGACATTTTGAAAACTTCTGTGTGCCTGATACTAATATCATCTTACTTCATCGTCACAGCAACCCTGTTGTATTCCCAGGTCGCAGATGAGAAAACTGAGTCTCACAGATGTTGAATGACATGCCCAGTGACACAGGGATAGCAGCTGTTGGTGCCAGCTTGACCTAGAGTCTGCACTTTAAGCATTATTCTTCCCTGAACTGCCTCCCCAGATGTAGAAATGTGTAAGTAAATGGCTGTCACTACTACTTTATTCCAAGGAGATGAGGTAAGATTTAACTGTAAAAATAATGGCAAAAACATATCCCACCCCCACCCCACCACCACCCACAGACACCCAGAATTTGTAAAATAACCATAATAGGGCTGTGCCCAGGAAGGTGGTGCCCAAGATCTGGCCATCTTCTTGCTGCCCCTCAGACTTTTGGAGTTCTGGGGCGGGGCAGGGGGAGGAAATGCCTTCAAGACCAATTTAGGAAGTAGGCATGGATTCTAGATGCTTCATCCTTCAATCCTAGGATGTATTTTTATCCTCAGGTTATAGATGAGGAAATTGAGTAGCAAAGAGGTCAAGTAATTTTCCTAAGTTAATACAGCTATTGAGTGGTAGGGCCAGTGATGTTAGATGCCATTGGCCTGACCCTTGTGGCAGAAGCGGCTACATGTCCTTTGAAATCCATTCTCCTTTCTTCTTTTGGCAACAAAGAAGTTTTATCTGGCCACATGTCTGCCCAGCTAAACCCTCCATCTTCTAGTGTCCCTTGCCTCAACTAGGCATGCACATGTGCCTAAACTCTGGCCAGTGAAATGTGAGCAGAAATGATATATAGAAATACATATGGAAATATATATATATAAAGTATAAAGAAATATTTCATTCACTTACTCTTTTCTTCTTGCTGGCTGGAATGACAGCATTATGCTGGAACAGGAGCTGCCTTTTTAGACCAGGAGACAGAACACACCCCCCCCCCCTCCTGCCGCCCCCCACCCCCTCCCTGCCCATGTTCCTCAAGCTCCAGAGCCCTGATAGCAGCCCTGAGCCACGTGAGAAGACAATACAGCTCTCTCTTTGAAAGCATTGTTATTTTGGCTTTTGCTACACCCTCCTAGTCTGACAGGATAACAAGTTATATCTGACAGGATAACAAGCTCCATTTAGATCAGGAAGATTAACAGCAGTGTCCCCAGCACTCAGTTCGCCTGGCTCAGAGTAGGTCCTCTACAGATATTTTAATGAATCTTCAAAATCTCATTATGAAGTTCACAGTACAGTAGAAGCCCCCTTATGTGACATGATCAGGACTGTTTTATTTCAACTTAAAATATGCATTCATTTGCCGTCTGTCAGAGTGTGGCTAGGGTCTTTTCTTTGAGGAGGGGACCGTGATTATAGTTCTCCATCTTCTTTCTCACATAAGCTTCACCAAACTGCAAATTGCAGTTTGTTTCCTTAAGGCAGAACAAACATTTAATGGTGCGGTCTGAGTACAAAATACATCTGAAGCAATCTGAGTACAAAATACATCTAGATTTATTTTTTGTTTGTTTTCCCATAATTTGTAGTAATCTTGCTCACATCTAATTCAACAAGTTTTTGAAAGTGACTCACCTTAATCAGGTCCTCTAAGGATTCAACTTAGTTCTCATAAAAACAGTGCTTGCATTCACTCTTAACATATCGATTTATGTAATAGTTAATTAAATTACAAATTACTTTCACACCTACAACCAGTATAGACACATTTTGTAAGCCATGGCTTTGCCGGAGGAGAGGAGCTGCATGGCATCCTAGGAGGTGCTTGTGGCCTAGGTTTGAGTCCCAGTTCTTCACTTACCAGTTGTATGACCTGGGATGACAAACTAAACTCTGTACTGCCTTTTTCTAATCTGTGAAATGGGGTTATAATAGCACCTTTTAGGCTTGCTGTGAGGATTAAAGAAGAAAACAACATGAAGCACTTAGAATAGTGTGTGGCCTGTGCAAAGAGATCAATAAATGTTACATAGTATCTGTGCTGCCTGCTGGGCCTTGTCCTCAGGCTGCAGAGGAGGAGCCTGGGGGCCTGTGTGGAGAAGCTGCTAGTATCCAGTAGGAAGTGGCTAAGAGATATCTTCTGCAGTATTATCTCCACATCTCCCTAGGACAACATGGAGGATTGGAGAGAATCAGTGACTCCAAAGCTTCTTGACCCAGAAGCCACAATTTTTAGAACTGGCAAGGGCCTTAGCATTCATGAGGTTTAGATCCAGCAAGTAAAGAAGGAAATGCACCCATTTTCCTTTTTTCTTTTACCTGTGGGGTTCAGACTCCCAATAAGGAGCAAAGAGAACATCTCAGTGCTGAAACTGCGGAGGTCTTTTCCACCCTGTCCAGGAGAGCCTTGCTGGCCAGGCCGTTTTCCTGTCCAGACAGCAGTGAACAACCAGGATGGGGCTCCATCTCAGAGGCCCTTAAAGTGTGTATGTTGGGACGGTCATGCTGTGTCACATGATTGTGCAGAAGCAAGACTGGGTGGGTCTCCTCTCAGGGTTCCTGCTGGGGGCTTCCCTGGGCCGTCTGGATGACCTGAAGAGGCAGGGAGGGGTTTGCCAGTGGGAGTAACTGGAAGAGAGGGAGAAGGCAGCCCTCCCCAGCTCCAGCTGCCCTCTTTGGTCCTCACCTCTGCTGGTGGGCTTCAGGGCAGGAGGGATCAGGTTTAAGCTCCATGTGCTCTAAGTCAGCAGCACGCTCCCTTTTTCTAATGTCTACAGTCAGACCATGCAGGAGGCAGGGGATACCCTGGGCTTCCGGAGCTGGGTGAGGGTTGTTCAGATTACTGAAAGACAAAGACAAGGCCTAACATGCTATATCCCCAAAGCATCAAATCACATTTCCCCCCAACTTTAACACATGACCATTAAAATCATTTAAAGCCACATCTCTCCTCCACTTTTATCCATTTTACAGATCTCCCACCTTCCTTCAGAGACCCACCTATTGACTTGGAGGCCACTGGGTACCAGAATACCAGAGTTCTGCATTATAGAGGGGGCTTGGCCTCCAAATGGAAGATGGGTCCTGGGCCCTGGACCTGGATGGAGAGGGGCAGACGTTTACCACAGGCCTCTCTGCACTGAGAGCCAGCATGGTGGAAAAGAGGAAGCTCTGGAAGAACAAGGAGGGAGTTGTCAGGGGACGCACTGGTTATTGTACATGGGGTTGCACCAAGGGCTATGCCCACAGGGGACGGTACTCGGCAAACCTGAGTCGCTTAGAGGCTAGACATGGGAGGGACCCACCTTGCCAGGAAAAAGACATACTGAAAAGAAGACATTAGTGAATCCAAGTCAACAAATAGCAAGGAACTGTGCTCCCAGGATTGGAAGCCTTGGGGAGAGAGACTGGTGAACAGAGCGCTAGGGTGGGAAAAGCACCCATACCTGGTACCAGCAAGCAGTAGGCTTTCAACCTGTAGGCTCCAACATGCAAAGTTTCAGAAGCTAGGAAGGCCTTGAAAGCAGGGACAAAGAAACCATTCCAGAAAAGGTTCAGGGAAAATGGACTAGGGTCTTAAGAGATGAGCAGACATGGGAGCAGAGGGGGTGGGAATTGGGAAACTGTCAGTAAGACAGACAGGGAGGGGGAAGTCTCATGGAGGGAGGAGAGTCCAGGCATGGGTATAACCAGAGGGCTGGGGAGAGCATTCCCATTTCCTAGGAGTTGCACAGCCAGGGACAGCCTACAGTGGCTCTCTCTTGGGGCCAAATATGGGAACATCTGTTGGTCCATCTTCCTTTCTCCTCTAATTCTTCATTTCCAATCCACTTGAAGATCCATAAAGGCAGGGAACAGGACAGAGCAGCACCCCAGCCAAGTCCCCTCCTCCCCAGGTCCTCTACAAGGTCCCATTGTAGCTGAGACACCTCTCAACATCCTCCAGAGGTCACAGCCATCCCCCAAACTTTACCCCTGCCCCTCACCTGTGCCACACCTCTGTTGCGCCCTGTCCCGCCCCAGCTGGGGTATCTGTTGGGCAGGCCCCACCTGGAGCCTGGGCCTCCCTGGAGTTGAGGCCTGGGAATGACAAAGTAAAGGGAACCAGTTTGAGAGTAAAAAAAAGCTGTCCTAGTTGTGGGTGTATGCATGAGTGTATGTTCCCTGCAGACACACAACTCCAGAGAAACGTTCTAGACACAAACCCAGGTGTGCCCTGTGTCTGCGATGAAAGTCTTGCCTGAGGCCCTTTATTCTGTTAAGGTTCCCACTAGTAACTATCAAGTTAGAATTCAGGCTCATTCACTGTCAGATGAGCCAGAGCCTAATCATCACCCCATCCTGTCTGGGGCCTCAGGGGCAAAGTCACAAAAAGTAGGTGGCTGACTTTGGATGGAACCCAGGTCTTTTGATCACCAATCCATTCCTCTGCCTGTACCAGGCTATCTTAATGTTGCTTGAAAATGATAAATACAGTGTCCTGATCTTTAAAATAAGATAGGATATAAAACTTATTAAATACAGATAATAAATATTAACCTATAATTTCAATTCCTGGGGTGGGAAGTTTTCTGAGGGCATCTCAGAGGGAAAAGGCAGTTGGAAAGACATCAACCTGTTGAGAGAGGCCAGGAGGTAAAGTCAGAGTGAAGCGGAAGTGGAGAAGAGGCATGGTGGAGACCCACAGAACAATGTCCCTCCCTCAACACCCAATCTGGAAATGAGGCTCAGAGAGAGGAGTTTCCTTGGAGCACTATCTCCATCCTGTGGCCCTTTCAGGAACTGCGGCCAAGTAGGTGATTGTTCCTGGGTTTGGCTCAAGATCCTTGATTGCAACCTTTGATCTTCACCCTCTGGGCTGAAACCACTCAGCCAAAACACTGGTACCGCCCTAGGGTTGGAGACATGCCACTATCCCCCGCCCACCCCCAGGTGGCAAACGATATATATCCCATATGCAGGCCCTGGGGATATGAACACATGAGCAGTCAAGCACAGCATCCCTGAGGACATCAGCTCTGCTTACCACCCACCCCTGCCCTGGGCCACATCTCCCTACCCCCAGCTCCTCATCTCAAGTGTCATCTTACCAGGGTGTGTGTTGGGACCAGCCCACCCTGGGCTAAGTGGATCCGTATGGCATCCACTAGCTTGGCCACCAGCCGCTCTCGCACAGGATCTGGCTCCTTCTGGGGAGAGGGTAGATAAAGGGGTGATGGGGCAATCCACTAGGGATTGGGGAAGAAAGCAACAGGATAGGGAGGAGAGATGGGGACTTTGTCTCCTGTCTCTTCTGCCCCATTCCCGTGTCTTTGCCAAGGTCCTGCCACCACCTGCCCATAATCGTGGGTAGAGACTGCATTCCTCACACTGATGTCCTAGGACCCAGCACACAATGTGCCCAATGCATGTTTGATGAGTGGATGGTGGTGGGGTGAAGATAAGGAGTCCAGGCAGGAATGTCAGCCAGAGAAGGGAAAGCTGGATAGCAGACAGAGGGATAGCAGGGTAGTTAGATTCCCAAGTGGAGAGTCTTACCTGGCACCGGGCCAGTGCTTCCTTATAGTACTGCAAGGCCTGATGGTGCTGTCCCAGACTGGCTGCCGCAGCTCCCAGTCCCTCACAGGCCTGCCACTGCCCCTTCGTGTCCCCTGGGGAAGAGGCTAAGTAGTCCTCTCATGGCATGCCACAAAACTGACCCTTCCCTCTGGAGTTATCCCCACCCCAAGACCCCCCCATCTGTCACCCCTCCTACCCCAAGTTCCCTCAATTTTGAGTTCCCCACCCCCAAGTCACCTGCTAAGCCCTCAGTCTCACCAGCATCCTGGGCAGCCTGCAGAGCGTGCAGAAAGTTGTCTCTGGCAGTTTTGTGGTCCCCGAGCTGACTCAGTGCAAATGCCAGGCTGCCAAAGCTCCGACCCTGCTCCCACCGCTGCCCCACAGCGCCTGATGAAGGACCAACTCCATCCTAAGAGGGAACTTGGCTGCTCGGGCATCAGGACCCTCACCCCCCAACAAAGGAGGGAGTGTTCCTGAGTCCCAATGCGGTGCAGAGGCCCAAACCTTGCTCATTCCTTAGTTTGGCCTGAATGGCTCCCCCTGGCTAGTTTGAACTATGCAACAGCCTAGGAGGCAAGCAAGGCATATTAATATTAATAACTCCACATTTATACATGTGCACACCAAGTCTCAGAAAGTGAGAATGATTCATAATCATGATCAGAAGAACCACTGTGCTCCCTTCTCGCCTTCTCTTCCAGGCAGTGCTCCTCCCTCTGCCTACTGCTGCCTTCCCAACTCCAGGATGCAGCCTCTGGGCCCACATACCCCTGTTGGTCTTGCCCACCTCCTCATCACCCTAGTTCTGGACTTCCCAGCCCCAGAACTAGCCCTAAAGATTCCTTCATTTTTTATCCTTGGGGCCCCAGCTGGAAACCCCTCCAAATCCCTTGGTTACAGTCCCATTCCCCAGCCCTGGTACCCACCATGCAGATCAGCAGCTTTCTGGTGAAGCTCACGGGCCTCCTGATAGTTGCCGAGGGCGTTGTGAGCCATCCCAAGGTTGCTTAGCACGGTGGCCTCTTCTCCTGGTCCCTGGCACAGGGGCAAGGCCTGCAGGAAGGCCTCTGCTGCTAGCGGGAACAGCTGGAGCTGGGAGTAGCCCAGGCCTAGGTCATTATAGAGTTGCCCTAGAGGGCATACCACGGTCACTGGTAGGCCAGGTCAGAAGCAACTGAGGCTGTACCAGTGCACCTGTCCCCCTCTGCGAGGGCCCCCAACCCCTCTCCCAGCCTCAGAAATGCTTCTGCTTCTATCCCACCTCTCAAAGTATTACCAGGTCTGAGTCTCCCCCAGATTCCCCACCTCCTTTCCCCAAGGTCTCACCTAGCAGTCCCTGCTCAGTGCTCCTCTCGGCAAGCCTCCAACTCTCCTCCAGCACCTGCACCACTTTGTGTACCTCATGCTGCCCGCTCTTTAGCATACACCCTGCCACAGCCCCCAGGGCCAGGGCTGCAGCTCGGGGCTGCCCTGCTTGGGCATAGGCCTGGCTCGCTTCCTTCAAACAATGGGCAGCTAGCTCAGGCTGTCCCAGAGCCTGGTAGCAGGCTCCCATTTTTGCCTGGGCCTGCCCCTGGTCACCTAGTGGCTGGTAGTGGCCCAGAGCCCTGTGGTACCAGGCCAAAGCTTGAGGCAGGTCCCCCAGGGCTTGGTAGGCCAAAGCCACATTGAAACACTGGTCACCATGACTCCTGCCCTGTGCCTTTTCTTCAGGTTGGGCTCGCAGGAGCAGCTCAAGGCCTCTGGCTGGGTCCCCAGTCTCCACGTAGGCAGCTCCCAGGTTGAAGGCACAGGCCCGGAGAACGGGGGTGTCCCTGGTTTGTGGGGCCTCGGTGGCCAGGAGGAAAGCCTTCTGGAAGCTGGTCACAGCTTCATGGTTCCTGCCGGCCAGTAGGGCCCCATGGCCAGCTCTGGTGAGGGCTTGGATGTTGGCCTCTTGCTGTGGCCACTTTCTTTTCTTCTTTTTCTTCTTGGAACTTGAGGACTCGGGCTCAGGCTCTTGGGATATATCTTCAGAGTTGGGGAAAGACATGGGGAGCATGTCTGATAATGGGGAGCAGAGGGATCTATGTGTCACTCTGGGCTTTCTCTGAAGACAGACCCCTCGAGTGCACTTCAGCTCTACCCTGGCCCAGTGTGACTTTTGAGGTGTCAAGGATTTCTCTGCCATCTCACTTTACTGCACTCGTCCCATTGGGCACCACATTAACACTCACCCTAATGTCCTAATTCTTAGACCCCTTCAAGACAAGGTTCAAGTCACGGCTTCCTTCAGAAAGCCTCCCTCTGCTCCACCAACTGGGTCCTTCTTCTCCACCCCTACTGCACTTATGCTGATGTCACACAGTGACATGGCCTTTGTCACACAGTGTCACTTGCGCCTTTCCCTACCCTTTGGAACAAGGGTCAGGCACATAGTTTCTCAATAAATGTTTATCAAGGAGATGAAAAAGTTCTGTGGATGGATGGTGGTGATGTTCTGCTGAACTGTATGCTTAAGAATGAGTTAAGCAGTACAGTTCATGCTATATACATTTTACTATAATAAAAGAAGATAGTTGAGTGAATAAATGAGTGGCTGCATCAACATCAACAGCGCGCATAGGGCCTCTGCTGCAGCACCGTCTGTTCACACATCAGTGTGCCTCCCCGCAGCCCTTCACCCAGGATCTCATCTCAAGATGTAGATCAAGTCAGGTTAACAAATACTGGGGAGCTCCTGCTGTGGACCCGGGAGTCACACAAATCTGGGGGGTGGGCGGGGGGGGGAGGCACAAAGGTGGAAATGTGGACAAATTGGCAAGGAGCCAGCTTCTACAGTGCAGGTTCTGTTTCTCCACTGATTGCCCACTCCCCGTCTTAAGGAGAAACCTCTTTCCACCCTGTCTCCATGGTATTCTGTCTGCTAGTTGGTGCCAGTCCCCCAACATCCTGCTCTGGTCTTCAGGATCCTCATAAACCCAAGTACATTTCTCACATCCTCATGTGTTTCCCGTTAGTATCTCACCCTTGAGAAGCAAAGCCTTTTCATGGACACTCCTCCCAGGAGAAGGGAAAAGGAGTGGAAAAGACCCAGTCACTGAGCTCTCAGCCACCCCCCCACCCCGCCATTTTCTCCTTCCTTTTTTTTTTTCTTCCTTTTTTAGGAGAGGCAGGCAGAGGTGATACATTCTCTTTTTAAAGAAAGTCCCACTGCTCCCAAGAAAACCCAGGAATTCTTCTCTCTAAGGTCCTCATCCATGGGTTCCTGGCTCCCACACCCCGGACTTGGAGCCCCAGCCACAGGAAGCCTTACCTCCTTCGGTCTCCTCAGAAGCTGGCTTTCTAGAATGGCCCCTCTGGCTTGGGTTACCTCCCCTAGCTCTTTGCTCAGAGTCCCTGGGGTTACCAGACAACTAAGTACCGCCCTTCATTCCTAGGGAATTCTTTGATAGACAGTTCAGGTGTCCTCTCTCAGTGCTGAACCCTGATGATGCTTTGGCACAGACATTTGGATTCTATTGCAGTTCCTGCCCTATCACTCCCTATCCCTGTGGACACATCCCTCAAGTCCCACACTTAAAGCAATGAATCAAAGTGTCACAGGCTTGTGCCAACCACAAAGATCATCTATTTCATACCCTTGTTTCACCAAGAAGAGGATCAGACTCAGCTTGTATAAGTTGCCTAAAGCCACATAGTCCTGCAGCTGGGATTAGACCCTCAGGTTTTCTGATTCTGGTCTCACTAGCCTAGGGTCCCTTTCACTACACCGTGATTGCAAGCTTTAATGAGGTTTGGGTTGTCCCAGAAGTGCAGCCTTTCAAATACACAAAATCTCTCTCTCTCTGTGTCTCTCTGTATCTCTCTCTGTCTCTCTGTCTCTCTCTCTCTCCCTTTCACACTGTGCTTCTTTGGGATATTTTCACATTTGCAAACAGGTAAAAGGTTGATGATCAGGAGAGACCTCGAGATCAGAAGAGCCTCCCTACCTCCAGATTCCTTTTCCCAGCTACAATGATCTTCAATCTCAAGTCCTGCTTAATGAGAGGACAGCAGGCCTCAGGACCACAGGCACCTACTGACCTAACTCACCAAAGGGGGCCCACATCAGAAACCAAATGTCCTCATTTACTTGGGGGAAAGGCTCTTTTAAGTAGAGAGGACTCTGCTCTGCCAGAACCAAAATTAGAAGGAAATAGCTGGGCTCACCTCTATTTGCCCACAGCCTATGCTGATTGTCTGCTGTGTGCAGGCCTGGTGCTTGTGCCACAGATAGTGCCCATGCCCGGAGCAGGATCCCTAGCTGCCCATAGCTTCTGCCCATGGGCTGGGGCTTCAGGATGCCACCACAGCCTGGCCCAGGCCAAGTATCCAACTCAGTCTGTGTTCACTCAGGACTCCCCTTAGTGGGGAAGGTGAGATGGGGAGGGGCCAGGGACTGCAACTGCTTTCACCCAGGTTCCAATGACCTCTGGATGATCTAGTGATCATTTTGGGGAATCACTTTCTTGTTTGATTCCCTGCTTTTTCTGACATAGCCTTGCAACTCTCTCCTCATGTAGTTTCTGTGATGCAGTGTGTCCTGGCTCTCTTTCTTCTTTCTTCTGTTTGACAGTTTACTGCTCTGTCTCCTTTGATGGAGCCTCTGTCCACTTCTTAAATGTTAGTGTTCCCCAACACCCTATCCTTTTATTTTACATACTTCCATGAACATTTCATCCACTCCTCTGATTTCACCATCCTCAGTAAGTTGATCATTTCTAAATGCATATCTCTAGATTTAGCTTGTGCAAGCAAAATTCCTACTTTCTCGCATCTACCCATCCTGTTTTCTCACTGTTATTTGGTAAATCAGGCTCTAAGCTAGAAACCTGGGGGACATGATTCTCCTGCTCTCTCCTAGCACTCAAAGTTTCTACTTCTGAAGCCTCTCTCCATTGTGCCCTCTCTTCAGCAAACTCATGGCCATGGCCTTGGAGCTGGGATAATATAAGGTGATTAAGAACTCAAGGTTGGAATTGGACTGAGTTTGAATCTTGTGTAATATTTTTAAGCCTCAGTATCCACATCTGTACTACGAAGATTAAAAAGATGGCCTTTCCTCCCTGGTGGCGCAAGGGGTTAAAATGCAACCTATGAAGCTATCTGCAGCCACTGCAGCATGAGTTCGATCCCCGACCAGGGAGTTACCCACATGGCGCAGTAGACCTCTCCTGACTTGCCTGCTGCTCCCCTCAGCAGTGTATTTCAGTCAATCTGCCTGTTCTGTTCCCCATTCTGTCTCTGGTGAATCCTCTCTCACCCCTCCCGCCACTCCTCTGGCCTGTACCCCAGTTCTTGTATGCATAAATAAATAAATCTTTAAAAAAATAAAAGATGGCCTTTATGAATGTTGAATAGAGTGCCAACATATAGTAAACACTGGATTCATGTGTTGGTCTATAATTTTAGAATTCCAGAAATATATCTCTTGTCTCAAGGTCCTATTCTACTGAGATGGTAGAAACAACATAAGTCAGTTTGGTTTACCTCTCTTTTCTCCCAGGATGAAGTCCAAATTGGGGGGATGTGTGGGATGCTAAGACTTGAGAGGAGAGGCCCATCTGATCCTTGGCCACCTATTTACTAGCCACTGACACACCCCCTTTCTCCTCATCTATCTGGCCTTTTCAGGCCCAGGGGCCCATCTCCCAAGCAGAAGAGGGGGTAACTCATCCAGGTACTTCTTTTCTGAGTGGGTTGGGGGAATTTCTGCATGACTAAGAACATCTATGCTTGGCTCATTACACAACTATTCTTTCTCACGACTGATTCTCTCTACTTCCCCACCCTGATGGGGGGCAAAGGGGACTCCTTTGCCTTCTGGTCTCACAACACCTACTTTCTTCAAATCCCTCTTTTTCCAAAGTTTTGTCTCAGTTCCAGGCCTCCTCTGTCCCTCTGAAGTTCTGGATATTTTGTTTCCAGCCCTTCAAACTTTTCCCCTGAGGCCATGAGCCAAGGCTGCCTAGAGGCTTCAGTAGGGAATGAGGGAAAAGGCAAAAGGGGAAATCCCAGGCAGGGGCTATCAGTAGATATCCAACATTTTTTCAACATAGTCATTGTAATTATTTTTATTAATTCAGACCCTTTTATTTCTCACCTGTGCTATAAATTTTCTGCAATAAATTTCCAACTGGTCTCTGTCCCTCATTTCACCCCCTCCAAGCCCCTGCTGCAAAAGAAATCGTTTTGAATTATAAATCTGGTTCTGACCTATGTCTAAAGTGTTCTTTGTTTGGCTCATGGCTGCTCCCCAGACCACATCCCAGCACCTGCAGGATCTAGTCCTGTGCCTCTCTGTAGGGTAAGGAAAAATGTCAGGCTTTTCTTCCCTCCCGCCATCAGGATAGATGATGGATCCTTGCAGTCCTGAATGCATGCCTGATGGTGGACACCTGGAGTAGGGTGTGGGCATAGGTAGATGGGATTCACCTGGGCTAAGACTGTGCTTTTTTAAGGGCGGCGTCACAGGGACGCCAGCAGCAGCAGAAGCCAAAAGAGAAGTCGAGAGAGAAACAGAAGCTGAGAGAAGGCCAGAGAGCCCAGATAGAGTGAAGACTTGCTGGGGGGCCGGGAGGCTGGCCAGCACCCCTGCTTGCCGTATGCCTCGTGAACCCTAATAAAAAACCTGCAAAAACTACTGAGGACTCTGACTCCTCCTTTACCCGGTCTGCTGGATCATAGAAAATCTGCACTGGTCCATTCCTGACCCTACACCCTGGTTGAGCTTTGTTCTCCTATAAAACCAAACAGATTTAAATTTCACAAACTGAAATGCAACTCAAAACTACAATAAGATACCATCTTACACCAGTGAGAATGGCACATATTAAAAAAATTAGCAACAACAAATGTTGATGGGGATGCGGAGAAAAAGGAACTCTCCTGCACTGCTGGTGGGAGTGCAAACTGGTCCAACCACTATGGAAAACCGTGTGGAGTTTTCTCAATCTGCTAAAAATGGAGCTTCCATATGATCCTGCAATTCCACTCCTAGGTATTTACCCAAAGGACACGGAAACATTAATTCAAAAGGGCACCTGCACCCCTATGTTTATTGCAGTACTATTTACAATAGCTAAGCTATGGAAACAACCCAAATGCCCAAAAATAGATGACTGGATCCAGAAGATGTGGTACATATACACAATAGAATATTACTCAGCAATCAAAAAAGATAAACTAATGCCATTTGCAGCAACATGGATGGAGCGGGAAGGATCTGAAATAAGTCAGAAAGAAAAAGAAAAATACCGGATGGTCTCACTCATAGCAGGAATTTAGAAAACCTAAATAAGGGACCAGGAAAAAGGCTAATTATAATTAAAAAAAGTGAAAATCAAAATCAACAAGCAACTATAAACCAGAGACACACTACAGTGGGGAGAAGGGAGTAGGATCAAAACAAGGGTGGTAGGAATTTTACAGGGATGATAACCCAGATGAAAATGCATACATTGCACAAAAATGAAAAATGATGTAAAAAATATATAAAATCAAATAAATTTCCCAAACTCACCTCCTTTCTTGAACAGGCTGCTTGACTGGGACTCCTCTCTCCTTCAATCTAATGAATTCTGTTCACTTTTTTTTTTAAGATTTATTTTTATTTATTTATGCATACAAGAGGTGGGAGACCAGAGGTGGGAGGGGGGGAGGCGTGATGATGGCGGGGAGGCGATGAGAGGATTCATCAGAGACGAAGTGGGGAGCAGAACAGCCGGATCTACTGAAATACATCGCTGAGGGGAGCAGCAGGCAAGACAAGGGAGGTCTGCTGCGCTTTACATGGGTTAGCTCCCTGGCCGAGATGGAACGAAATCAGGCTGCTGTGGCTGGCAATAGCCCGATAGCACTGAAACCTAAGCCCTACGCCACCAGGGAGGCACAAATCCTGTTCACTTTTTAACCCAGATCAACTGTCACCTCAACTAGGAAGTCTTCCTGTATGTCCTTCATAGCTCCTAATTACAGAAATTACCTCCTCCGTCTAAGGAGGATTGTCTGTATATCATAGACCTTTGACTATATATGTCTATCGCTTTTTCCAGACCCAGCAATCTTCTTCAGGGAATTGACTGTACTTATTTATCTCTGCACCCTACACCGCCTAGTTAAGTGCACAGCGCCAAGTAGGTCTTCAAGTTAGCCAAACCCAAGAATACTATAGACGGTAGAGAAGGGTTCCTGGGAACACCAGGGGTAATGACCAGGGCAAGGCAAGGGCAAGGGTATATGGTACTTAAAATAAGGTCTAGAAGGGAAGGAGGAAAAAGAGCCCAGGGTACCTCCAGAAAGGGAGCGCCCTTCCCTGACTCTGGGGGCTATGGTCTTTTTGTGTCTCCCCACCTGGCTGGGCGCCTCCGACGCAAGAAACTACAAATCCCAGAGGCCCCTGCGGCACACACCGGAAGTGTCCTGCCGCACTGTGGCGCCGGTGAGGGGCGGTGGCCCAGCGGCGGGAGATTCAAACCTGGAAGAAGGAGGAACATGGAGGGGAGAGGAATGGGCCCCAGCCGTGCGGTCTGTGAGTGCCAGAAGGGACCAGGAGGGTTCATCAATGGTGCTGCTGATCGGGAGTGGTCCTGGGAGAGGTCGTAGCGAAGACCGGGCGCGGGGCTTGCCTGGCAAGGGCCCGCGGGACTGTGTTTCTTTGGGAGGGAGACTCAGTCTGTACTCCAGCGGGCGGAATCGGGGCTGAGAAATGCCCCGACTTACTGCCGCACTTCAGAGCTTACAAAGAGTTTGTCCTTGTACCCAAATTCTTGGGCTCCAGGGCCGCATGTTCCTTAAGGCTCAGCAGTATACTGATGGCTACCGTTTTGCCGAGCGCCACCAGGGGACAGGGCACAGAAAGAGACCTGGGGAACTCCTTGTGTGGTTTGTTGGGGTTTTTTTTGTTTGTTTGTTTGTTTTGTTTTGTTTTTAAAATGCCGTTTTGAGACAATGGCTCTCAAGCTTTAGGGTGTCAGAGTTATGTGGGAAATTAGTTTAAAATGCAGATTCCTGAATTCTATCACAGAGCTTCAGCTCTGGTGGTTCTGGATTGGGACCCATAAACTGCATTTGTAATCCACACTGCTGTGCTTCTTCCCTCGCCCCAGTTAATTGTGATGGAGGTAGTTCTTGCATTACACTCTCTAAAACACTGTTTTAGAGAGACTAGGGTTGAAAGAATAGGATGGCTGAGACGTTTCCATCCGATCTTCTGAATGAAAGGCAAAATCTCCTTCCACTTACCTTTCTTAGGGCTCAAAAAGCAAAGTCTAACTACACTCATCTGTTGAAGGAAAGCTGGTTCCAGACATAAGGAGGGCAGAACGACTTATTTTTTTTTAAATAATTTGTGTGCATGTACAAGGTCCTGCCCATCTCTCACAGTCCTGGATTCATAACTCTGAAGTGATATCATTCACTTACTGGTTTATTTTCCATGCTTAGCAACCAACGCTTGTTTCTTGTACACACCCTTGGAGGGACTGATGGTTTCCTGTGATTGGCCAGTGTGTTCAAATCTGAGCATGAAGGGGTGTGTGTGTGTGTGTGTGTGTGTGTGTGTGTGTGTAACTTGCTTAACTGCCACTTCAAATAAGACCTACCCCTCCCCCAATCATATTGCAGTGTATGCAATATAAGGAAATAAGATAGAGTGGGAATGCCTTTAAATGCTGAGCCAAAGACAGATTTACTGAGCTCTGCCTCTTTTCAAGTCCTTGGTGTATGTGTGTAGCCTTCTCTCATCTGTCTGATTTTGTATTCTCTTTCCTAAGTAGTCTAGAGAAATAGGGGAGAGGTTGAGGGAAAAGGGTAAAGGGAGCTGTGGCTAAGGCAGAATATGAGTGCTGTCTCATTTAAGGGATTCCCTACTATTTGGAGGTGAGAGTATTGTCTGCATTTTATTTGGCCTGGAAAATTATTTTCCTACTCAAGTGATCTGTGCCAAAAAGGAAAGTGATACCTTTGTGATCTTTTGAAATTCTTTGTCCTTTCACTTAATCCCAAGTGAGGGGCATTTTCCACATGGTTCCCTCTGTTGAACTGTCTTTACTCCTTTTCACCTGATTGTTCTTTAAGATTTTTCTCATAGGTAGAATTCTTTGCTTCCTCTGCCACTTTCATTGACTGTTCATGAGCTACCATCACACTTACCACATGAAATTACACTTTTTAGTTATATGTTTTTCTCCTCCAGTAATAATCTCTGTATTATAGGATACAGACTCAGATAGCTTTACTGGGTGGGAGCAGAAGATTGGAGCTAGGTGTCACCTGGGAAGAGGGGGACAGGAATGTGAGAGATGCTTCAAGTCTCTGAGCAGTTGCCTAAGAAAGTCTGTTAAGTTTTAAGGCTAAGACTCTCATCTATGCTCCCTTCACTGACCTTATCCCCTTGCATTCCCAGATGAACGCCTCACAGCTGAGGAGATGGATGAGCAGAGGCGGCAGAATGTAGCCTACCAGTACCTGTGCCGGCTAGAGGAAGCCAAGCGGTGAGTAAAGGGACTGCCTCTTCCAGTCTCCCTTTCCCACCCTGCTCCCCACCCCACAGCGCCAGCTGCCCAAAGCAAATGCAAAAGGGCTAGAGTCCATTCTGTGAAAAGGGAGAGTTGAGGGCCTCTTAGGTGGTGCAGGGATTAGAGTCTCAGCGCTATGAAGCTATCACCAGTCACTGCAGCCTGAGTTGATACCCCCCCCAGGGAGCTAATAACCCACATGGCGCAGCAGACCTCTTCTGTCTTGCCCGCTGCTCCCCTCAGCAGTGTGTTTCAGTAGATCTGCCTGTTCTATTCCCCTACTCTGCCAGCGGTGAATCCTCTCACCCTTGCATCTCTGGCCTATACCCCAGTTCTTGTTTGCATAAATAAATAAATATAAATCCTTAAAAAAAAAAAAAGGAAAAGCAAGAGTTGAAATAACACCTTTAAAAAAAACCCTTTACTTTTTTAGAGTGTCTTAGGTTCATAGTAAAATTAAGAGGAAGATGCAGAGATTTCCTATATAACCCCTATCCCTACCTATGTGTAATTTCTCCTATCATCAACACCCCCCCCCATAAAAGTGGTACATTTATTATAATTGATGAGCCTTTGACATATATAATTACCTCAAGTCCATGGTTGACCTTAGGGTTCATTCTTGGTGTTGTGTAATCTGTGGGTTTGGACAAATGTATCCATTATTATAGTATCATAGAATTTCACCACCCTAAAAATCCCTGTACCTCTTCTTCTTTTTTTTTTTTTTTTAAGATTTTATTTATTTTTTCACAGACAAGCTAGGGGGTGGGGGTGGGTGGGAGGATTCACCAGAGACAAGAGTAGGGAGCAGAACAGGCAGATTTACTGAAATACACTGCTGAGGGGAGCAGTGGATGAGACAGAAGAGGTCTGCGGCACCATATGGGTTTCTCCCTGGCCAGGGCTCAACTCAGGCAGGCACTGTTGGTAATAGCTCTAAGACTTAATGCCAAGACCACCATGAAGAGCCCCATTCCCTCCCCTCTCTTTTCATACCCCTCCCACCACCAGCTTTCCCCCGATACCCACACCCACTACTGTTTCAATAGTTTTGCCTTTTCCACAGTATGTAGCCTTTTCAGATTGCATTCTTTCTCTTGGTAATATGCATTTGAGCTTACAGTGTGTCTTGTCATGGCTTGATAGCTCATTTCTTGTTAATGCTGAATAATATTCCATGGTCTGGATGTACTGTAGTTATTATAATACATTCTTGACAATCATGAATAAAGTCGCTATGAACATTTGCTTATAGGTTATTGTGTGGACATAAGTTTTAAACCCCTTTGGGTACATACCAAGGAGTATGACTGCTAGATTCTACAGTAAAAGTGAGTTTAGTGAGGAGATACCAAACTGCCTTTCAAAGTGGCTATAACATTTTGCAATGAATGAGAGCTTCTGTTACTCCACATTTTCACAACATTTGATGTTGTCAGTGTTCCAGATTTTTGCCTTTCTAATACATGTGTCGTGGGGTCTTGCTGTTATTTTAATTTGCAGGCCCTTGACAACCTATGATGTGGTGCATGTTTTCATATGCTTACTGTCATCTGTTCATCTTCTTTGATGAGGTGTCCTAAGGCTTTCGGCCCATTTTTTAGTTGGTTGGTTGTTGTTTTAAAAGTTCTTTGCTGGGCCTCCCCGGTTTGAGCGCTTTGCGAAGCTGGCGGCCTCTGCGGCGCCGGTTCGATCCCCGGCTGCTTTTAAAAGTTCTTTGCAATTCTCTCACCCTCCCGCGCTTCTGACTGTACCCAGTGCATGTATAAACAGTCATGTCTATAAATTAAAAGATATTTGGAATAACAGTCGTTTATTAGATACCTCTTTTTTTTAAAAAAAAGATTTATTTATTTATGCATACAAGAACTGGGGTACAGGCCAGAGGTGCAGGGGTGAAAGGATTCACCAGAGACAGAGTGGGGAGCAGAATAGGTGGTCTGACCAAAATACTCTGCTGAGGGGAGCAGTGGGCGAGACAGGAGAAGTCTGCTGCACCATGTGGGTTTCCTGGCCAGGAATGAAACTCATGCTGCAGTGGCTGCGGATATCTGTGTCTTCACCCCTTGTGCCACCAGGGAGGCCCCTCTTTAAGATTTTCTACACAGGTGGTTATAGCATTTGCAAACAAAGGCAACATCGTATCTTTTTATCCTCCTACATACTCTATACATATCTCTAAAATCTCTGGAGGTTTGCTACATAACCATGCCTTATAATGCCCAACTAAGTTACCCCATTAATCCTTGGAAAATCAACACCCAGGATATTTTCAGAATTTTATGATTCTCTCAAAAAAGTCAACGTTTACAGCTGGTAAAAGTTTTCAAGTTAGACTCTTAAAAAGTTTTGGTTGTAGGGCCTCCCCTGGTGGCGCAGCAGTTGAGCGCTGGGCTGTGAAGCTGCCCGCAGCCTCTGCAGCGCCGGCAGCTGGTGAGGGTCCCACATGGTGTGCAGACCTCTCCTGTCTCGCCCGCTGCTCCCCTCAGCAGTGTATTTCGTGAGTCTGCCTGTTCTGTTCCCCACTCTGGCTCTGGTGAATTCTCTCACTCCCCCGCACTTCTGACTGTACCCAGTGCTTGTATAAATGAATAAATAAATCTTTAAAAAAGTAAATAAAAAGTTTTGGTTGTACTGTCTCTTAATCATCTTTTTTTTTTTTAAAGATTTATTTATGCATACAAGAACAGGGGTGTAGGCCAGAGGTATGGGGGTGCGGGAGAATTCACCAGAGACAGAATGGGGAACAGAACAGGCAGATTTACTGAAATACACTGCTGAGGGGAGCAGCAGGTGAGACAGGAGAGGTCTGCTGTGCCATGTGGTTAGTTCCCTGGCTGGGGATTGAACTTGTGCTACAGTGGCTGCTAGCTTTATAGTGGCGATGCTTAACCCCTTGCACCACCAGGGAGGCCCTCTCTTAATCATCTTTAATTTAGAACAGTTCACTTTCCCTTTTCAGTTATTTATGTCATTGGCTTATTGAAGAAACAAGTCGTTTGCTTTGTAGAACTCTATATTCTGTCTTTGTTGGTCTCCTTGTCACTTAACTTGTTCCTATATATCTGTTTCCTGTAAACAGATCTTGACTCTGAAGTCTTGGTTAGGTTCAGGTTCAACATTTTTTTTGCGAGAACTTTTCCTTGGTGGTGGTGTGCCCTTCCTACAAGAGTTGGGGTACAGGCCAGAGGTGTAGGGGGTGGGAGGATCACCAGAGACAGAGTGGGGAGCAGAACAGGCAGATGCACAGAAATACACTGCTGAGGGAAGCAGCGGGCGAGTCAGGAGAGGTCTGCTGCGCCATGTAGGTTGCTCCCTGGCCAGGGATCGAACTCATGCTGCAGTGGCTACCAATAGCTTGATGATGCTATTTTTAACTCCTGCACCATCAGGGAGGCCCTCATTAGCTCATTTAATCCTGGCAACTGTGGCAGGATGTACGGGTCATATTATTTCCATTCTGCAGATGATATAAATGAAGCTCAGAGAGGTGAAGTGGGGGAGCTAGGGAGGAAAGCAGGTCTTCTGTGGACTGTGACCTTTCTGTCCCTTTGTGCTGCTCCTTCCCCATGGGAGGGTTCCCCACTCCCTTCATCATCATCATCAAAGCTGGGTTATGGGCTGTATAGATCATTCAGGCAGATATGACTTTCCTGTGCCTTGGTTCTCAGAAAACATGCAGAATGAAAGAAGTAAGCGGATTCAGCTCACAGGCATGATCAAGCAGGTTCAGGATCTGTCAGTTAAGATTTTCTAGGTGGGGCCTCCCCGGTGGAGCAGCGGTTGAGCGCTGGGTTGCGAGGCTGCCCGCCACCTCTGCAGCGCCGGTTCGATCCCCGGCTGCTCCCCTGCCACCGGAGGAGGGTCCCACATGACGCGCAGACCTCTCCTGCTGCCTGCTGCTCCCCTCAGCAGTGTACTTCAGTCCTTCTGCCTGCTCTGCTCCCCGCTCTGGCTCTGGTGAATTCTCTCCCCCTCCCGCGCTTCTGACTGTACCCAGTGCTTGCATAAATAAATAATTAAATAAATGAATGAATGAATAAATAAATAAATAATCTTAAAAAAAAAAGATTTTCTAGGTGACTGGAGGCTGGGGATTGACCAAATCAGGTGTTTGGACAGCTGGGGGGAAATGGGAACAGCAGGCAATGGCCAGAGAGCAGGAGAAAGTCAGGCTGCTGACGGGGGAGGTAGGGGGGACAGAAGGTCCTGTGGTTAGAAGGAACTGCTGCGGCCTGCCAGTGTGGATCACCACGTATTCTGGTCCCCTCAGCTGGATGGAGGCCTGCCTGAAGGAGGAGCTTCCTTCGCCAGTGGAGCTGGAGGAGAGCCTTCGGAATGGAGTGCTGTTGGCCAAACTAGGCCATTGTTTTGCACCCTCTGTGGTTCCCTTGAAGAAGATCTATGACGTGGAGCAGCTGCGGTACCAGGTGGGGAACAGAGGTCTCTACCTTCCTCCTTCTTCCTCTTAAAATGCCCCTTCTCAAAGCTTAAAAGAGTAGGATGACCACATAATTATTGTCCAAACCCAGACACTCATGAACATGAGAGGAGAATGAAAGTGCTAGTAATCATTGTACAAGGACAACAATTGTGTCTCACAGCCAGATGGTGTGTACTAGCCTTAGCAGTAAAGGACACTTGTCTAGGTGAACTTGAAGGTGCTCCCAATGTAAGGTTTCCAAGAATTTTCTACGCCCACTCTACACTTGGAGGCTGTGGGCTTTGTCATCTTCATGATGCTGCCAAGGTATTCCGCCCCTTCCTTGCATTCTAGCCAGCGCAACCCTCCACCCCTTTCCATCCCAGTGAGCGACTCTTTTTCTAGGATAGTAATCCTATCCCCGTGCCATCCTTCCCAAATGTCCAGGTGGGTCATCCATTCCTGGTGGTTTCTGTACTGGGGTGATGGGAAATGCATAGGGTAAGGGCCTCTGGCTCCCCCCTCCTCTTGAATCTCCTAGCTGTGGTCTGGACTCTGCCCATTGGGAACCCTGAGAACTATGAAAATAAATTCTCTTCTCTTTCCTTCTCTTTCAGGCAACTGGCTTGCACTTCCGTCACACAGACAACATCAACTTTTGGCTGTCTGCAATAGCCCACATTGGTCTGCCTTCGGTAACAATGGCCCTCAAGATTGGTTCTTTATTCTTCACCAGCCCCCCAGACCTACCCCCAGCACAGACACTTTCCCAGGGGCCCGTTAGCTCTCATCTCCATGTGTCTTCTAAACTAACTTATTCTGAGCATCTAAGTTCCTTGGGCTGTGTGTCTTTGAACCAGGTTACTTGGTCTCCATCCACTATCCTGTGGATAAAAGATGGTGAAGGCTCCTTGGCCCAAGTGTGTTCTGCCCAATTTCCCTTAGGCAAGTGAGGCCCTGTGTAAAGCAGGAGATGGGTCTTATCTAGGCCAGCCATCTTTTCTCCAGAAATTCATAGTGTGAAGTAAGGGCACACACATCCTGAGGAGGGAGACCCTGGTTGACACATGCTGCATGTCCTCTCACTCTTTGAATCTCCGTGTATCTCTTTTTTTGTTTGTTTGTTTTTTAAGATTTATTTATTTATTTATACAAGCACTGGGTATAGTCAGAAGCGCGGGAGGGTGAGAGAATTTACCAGAGCCAGAGCGGGGAACAAAACAGACTGATGAAATACACTGCTGAGGGGAGCAGCAGGCGCAGCAGGAGAGGTCTGCGCGCCATGTGGGACCCTCGCCAGTGCCCAGGGATTGAACCAGTGCTGCAGAGACTGTGGGCAGCTTTGCGGCCCAGCGCTCAACTGCCGCGCCACCAGGGGAGGCTCTCAGTGTATTTCTTATCTGGAAAATGGGACTAGTAATCTCTGTCCCGTCTACCTTATGTCGGTAGGTTTTCATGACCTGTGTAAATTTCCTTTGTGAGTTATAAAGAACTGTGCAAATTAAAATATAAGTGTATGTCTTCTTTCTGCTTTGTCTTCTTTACTGTGATGAGAACTACCAAGCAAGGAAATGACATCAAAGTAACACATATTCCTCAGCTGGGCTGGAACACATGCAGGTCTCTAGATTTGGTTCTTTCTTGTGAATCTAAAGTAACCGAGAGGTATTAAGGTTAGACCTTGTTACAGTCGCTCGGTGGCCTGGGAAGCCATGCCAGGGCAACTCAGCTTTTAAAGGGACCTCCCTCACCACAACTGAGGGATCTTGGTTCTTGCCCCTGCCCCGCCCCTTGGTCCTTGGCAACATATAACTCATTGGGCCCTCTGGGGGTCCAGCCAGCTTCCCACTTGCCACCTTTCCAGTGAGAGTTTGATGTATGGGGCATAGGCTCACTGTGTCTATAGGATGAACATGAGGGCCACATCCCTTTATCCTGGATTGCCTTGTCTGATATTTGGTTAATCTGCAGCTGTGTGTCTGTGGATGAGTTTTGGATTAGTCTGTGTCTCTAGTGCCCTTCTTTTATGCTGGGCTGGCTATAAATGGTTGGGAATTGTCTAGATAACCTAGACCAACCCAGGCCGCAAGGGAGCACACATTCTAGGTGAGAGAGGAAGCCCATTCCTTAGCCCCCTGTCTCCGTATCTGGTGCTGCTTTAAGATCTTCAAGGTAGTAACTGGCTGGTTTCTCCTCCAGACCTTCTTCCCTGAGACCACAGACATCTATGACAAGAAGAACATGCCCCGGGTAGTCTACTGCATCCACGCACTCAGGTGAGACAGCCCCAACTTTGTCCTCTAGCTTCCTCTGCATGGATGCAGCTAACAATAATAGCAGCATTGCGTCAAGAAGCGTGGAGGGTCGACCACAGCAAGCCCTTCTCAGGAGAGAGAAACTTTAGACTTACATAGTTGTGTTAGATTTACGTGCATGTGTGTAGACATATTTAAGGGCAGGCAGGTAAGAGTCTTTAGCTTATGACTGGGGTACAAAGGAATCAGAATAGTATCCATCAAGAGTATTACATACAAGTCACTTAGTGTGAACTGGAAAGACTGTTTGGTCCTACTAACAGCCACTCTGTGACCGTTTCTAGTGTCCATGGTGTCATCTCTTCCAGGCTTCTTTTCCTGTGTCCTTTCAAGCTTCTGTGCCCTGGCTCAGTGTGTCCCTACTTATGCACTTTCCACCTTCTTTTTCCATCCAATGTTGTGCCTTTCCAATCCCTCCACCTCCTACAGCATCTTATTTCTCTTTTATAGCACTTGCCTCCGGCTGACTTAAATAACATCCCTCCCTCTGGACTGGGGGTAGCTTGAAGGCAGGCGTGGAATGATCTCCTGCACTCTGGATTGGGGGTGGCTTGAGGGTAGGTGCTGAATGATCTTCTGCAAACCCATCGTGAGGAGATGTCAGAATGAATAGGCCCCAATGCCTTCCATTCTTTTCAGTCTCTTCCTTTTCCGGCTGGGATTGGCCCCACAGATACATGATCTATATGGAAAGGTGAAGTTCACAGGTAAGCCCAGTTGCTTCCCCAACCATACCACCACGTCCAGGCAGGGCCTTGGGGGTTTCTGGGCCTGATGAAGTGCCCATGTGTCATTGCAGCTGAGGAACTCAGCAACATGGCCTCTGAACTGGCCAAATATGGCCTCCAGCTGCCTGCCTTCAGCAAGATCGGGGGCATCCTGGCCAATGAGCTCTCAGTGGATGAGGCTGAAGGTAGGAATGACCTCTGCCCTGCTAGGGATAGACTCAGTGACAATTGGGGGACTCTGGTCCTCAGGCTTTGGATGTTGGGTATGTCTTATCCATAAACAGGGCCATCAAGCTACCTGATTTGCCTCCCCCTTTGGGTAGAAAAAGGGCATGATGTACAGCGTGACCTGCAACTGGCCTGGGGTTTGTTCTGGCTTCCTGACCTTGTCTCCATGCCCTCTCCCAGTCCATGCTGCTGTTCTTGCCATCAATGAGGCAGTGGAGCGAGGGGTGGTGGAGGACACACTGGCTGCTTTGCAGAATCCTAATGCTCTGCTGGGAAATCTTCGCGAGCCTCTGGCAGCCATCTACCAGGAGCTGCTGGCCCAGGCCAAGATGGAGAAAGCTGCCAATGCCAGGAACCACGTAAGGAGGAGCCTTAGAGCACAGGGGTTAAAGATGACAATCTTGAGTGAAACCAGGACTCCTGTCTGTTTTGTATCTAGGTTCCTTAATTGCTTAGAGAAACTGTAACTTTTCAGTTATTTTAAAGGAGAATTCAGGAGAATAATGAGAATTCAGAAGAGAAGACAGGAGAAGAGGTACTGGGAGACTGGGCCTTCCAGGAAGGCTGAGTGAGGTTCTGGAATATAGAAATGGGTGAGAACTGCCTTGGAGATTCCAAAGGTTGGTTTGATTAAAAGTTAGTGCCAGAGGATTAGACCCTCAGTTTCCTAGATACCTTCCAACCAGACTAACCTTTGGCCTTGGGGAGATCCCCAGAAGTATAAATAGGTATAGACAGGGAGAGAGGAACAAATGAAGATTGATTTGGTTTTCCCAGGTTCCCATTCAATGTGTCTTTTGCAGGATGCTGGAGAAAACCAGGACATCTATGACTGCTACCTAACTCAGGCTGAAATCCAGGGCAACATCAACCATGTCAATGGTAAGAGAGAGAGGCCAGGAGGGATTTGGAGGTGCTCTCGGGTAAACCCCTGCACTGGTAGGTTTGGGGATGTTTTTTCCTAGGCCAGAGACCCTGTAGTCTCACTTGGGCCAACCCTTGTTCCAGGTTAAGGTGAAAATTAAGGTAGTCTATGTTCTACTTTCTGACTATCGATGTCTGGAGAAGTGGCTTCTATCAAAGGGGGCTTCTGTCTGCATGGAGATTCATGGAGAGGCGGAGCTCTTGGTGCTGGGAGCAGTTAGATCAGGTCCTTCAACAGGGAGTGGAGAATGGGGAGGGGAGGGAGAGATCAGGGCAGGAAAGGCTGCTTGAAGGTCCAGAATAGAGTGGCATCTGCCTGTTTGGGTCAGGACATCCTCAGCTGGTGAGATGGAAAGGCTGTGAAGATCAGACTGAAGAATTTGAGCTGGACCAAATGGGTACTGGAAACACAGGCGCCCCCGGGGGAGAGGGTAACTGGGCAGGCAGGAAGAAGGCAGATTCCTAGGGCCAGGATGGTAAGGGGTGGACTTTCTCAGGCAGTCCATTATGGAGTCTTGGTCTTTTTCATTTTTCAGTCCATGGAGCGCTAGAAGTGGTTGATGAAGCCCTGCAAAGACAGAGCCCTGAGGCCTTGCTTAAGGCCCTTCAAGACCCTGCATTGGCCCTGCAAGGAGTGAGACGAGACTTTGCTGATTGGTACCTGGAACAACTGAGCTCAGACAGAGAGCAGAAAGCACAGGTTAGGCTCTACTGGCTGCCACCTCTGACTAAGATGAGAGGCTTCTTATTCCAGCATCACCACTGTCAATTCTCTGTATTCATTAAACCCCTTATGCTTCTACCCCCTTGCATGGAAAAGCCATCAACCGTTGTCTTTTGTTGTCTTTTCCTGTGTGTTGGTACCTAGTGATAAATGCTGTGGTAATCTGACTACATGTTTAAATTGTTAGATCAGGGCCTCCCCGGTGGCGCAGCGGTTGAGCGCTGGATTGCGAAGATGCCGGCAGCCTCTGCAGCGCTGGTTTGATTCCGGGCTGCTCCCGGCCACTGGAGGAGGGTCCCGCATGGCGCGCAGACCTCTCCTGCCGCCCGCTGCTCCCCTCAGCAGTGTACTTGGGTCCTTCTGCCTGCTCTGCTCCCCGCTCTGGCTCTGGTGAATTCTCTCACCCTCCTGTGCTTCTGACTGTACCCAGTGCTTGTATAAATAAATAAAAATAAATCTTAAAAATAAATAAATAAATAAATAAATAAATAAATAAATTGTTAGATCACCCCAAAGCCCAGTGATCTAGACTGATCAGCTTCAGCTTCTACCCTCTGAGAGTCTCTCAGACTTACTGACGATGAGGGCTGGGGGGGGGGGGTCTTTTGGCAGTCTAGTAGGCAGTGATATGCTCCCCCATTGCTAAATTGGGGTCTCAATTTAGCAATCTTATTTCAGTGCTGCTAACTCTCTCCCTAACATTCTATGTTTGTGGTACCTATGTTGTTTCAGATGCTCGCTGGATAATAAAAATCCGAGGTTAGGAATTGGTTAATAGGGCTGGGTTGGCCAGGTTTGTCAGCCTAAAGGGGAGAGGTGGGATTGCAGGAGAGTGAGTGCATGGGTCTGAGCGCTCCTGCTGGCAGCTCCTAAACCATGTCAGTGCCCCAGGAGGACTCTTCTCTACTGCAAGTCTTCCCTCTTTCAGGAACTGGGCCTGGAGGAGCTTCTGGAAAAGGAGGAGGTCCAAGTGGGTGTGACTGCAGCCAACATGAAGGGTGATCAGGAACAAGCCAGTAAGTCAGTTCCAGGTTCTTACTGGCTCTTGGAAGAGCATCTGACCCCTTTGCCAGCTTCTGTGTAGGACAATGCAAACTGCTGCCTAGTTTTCCACCCCGGCAAGGGCATTCTTCCCTGGAGGGTGTGCCTGTTTCCTGGCTGTCTGGAGGGACACCGCAATTGGTTCATTATGGCCTTAGAGATAATAAAAGTCAGTACTGCAGGCTAGACTCCTGGGCATGCAGCTTCCTCCTAGGCAACCCCTTGGACTTGGACAGCTTTAACCTGCTGCAGTTTTCTATGGCCTCTGAAATGTATTGATCTCTCAGATGATAGAGAAACGCATGATCCAACTCTATTTTCCTTAAAAACACTATATAGGAATATAATTCTTTACTAATAGAAGGTGAGTTAGTGATTGCCTCCCTCCTAGGGAGCAAGAGAGGAGAGAGATGGAGTGTGAAGGTCCCACGCAGTAGCCTGTGGCCACCAGACCTGCTGCACTTGCTTCCCTTGTTTTGATTTGTTGTCAGCTTCTAGGTTGCTCAGTAACCATTAGCCTTTATCTCGGACCTTTCCTTTCAGCTTGCATGCCCCCCCCACCCCCACTCCTGATGAACTGCTTTCCTTATCAGCTCAGCTCATTCCCCGCAGCTGTTGCCAGAGTAATCTCTCCAGCACAGATCTGATCTGATCTTCTTTGTTGAACACCTTCAGACCTTGTGGGCTTGTCCATTATTTATTGTTGACCTTAATAAGACCTTTCCTGAGCTCTCCCCACTCCCTTCTCTTCAGCCCCCAGCCCTCCTACCACCAGGTCTCCAGTCCTCTGGATTTTGCTTCTCCCACATTTTCACCTGTCAGAAGCAACTGAAAATTTCCTCCAGAGCTACCTGCAATGTTTCCTCCTCTGTGAAGACATCCTACTCTCTCCCACTGAAATCCCTCCTCCCTTGCATTGCCCTAGCGTTTGAGGAGGGGGAAGTACCTCTAACAGCAAAGACAGCATTGCTCTGAGGTATTTTTTGCATTATTTCTCCCTAGTGGATGTGCCCTCCTTGGTGCCAATGACCATATCTGCTTGGCATTTTGTAAGCCCTAGTGTTTGGCAGCTGAAACTACATTGAGGCACTGTGATCCCTTTTAACTGACTCTGACCCTTTATAGCCCAAATGGCTCTGCTTTGATGCTGGCTCTTTCTTCCTCTGTGCATACCAGGAACCTCTTGACTATCCTCATCTAGTTACCTTCTGTAGCCTCCTGTCAATCTTGTTCTCACCACCTTAGGAGCTCACTGCTCGGTGATAGTCACTCTCAGGTACTTGCTGAGTTACTCAACTTCTAGGCCTGCCAAATTGCTTTTCACAGAGTCTCTTCTTGAAGCTACCCAGCCCCTTTTCCTCCTGGACATTTAGAAAAACATTTTTAACCTGGAAGAACAGTTTTCAAGAGTAATTGCAAAGCTGTTTCCCCTCAGTAATCCCCATCAGAGCCTCCTTGGCCAAAAGAGTAGAAATGCCCAGCCGGTACAGCCTCTCTCCTACTTCCCTGCAGTGCTCTGGGCTGTGCAGAGGATCAACAGAGCCATCCAGAGGGGAGTGGCTGCTGATACTGTGAAGGAGCTCATGTGTCCTGAAGCCCAGCTGCCTCCAGTCTACCCCTTTGCCTCAACTCTGTACCAGCAAGAGCTGGCAGTGCTCCAGAAGCAGCAAGAGGGGGTAAGCTCCAGAAATGAGGGCCCAGCTCTTGGTTTCCAAAGCAGCTGGAGGGATCAGTCAGTCAAAAGCAGGCTCTGGGGGCTCTCTTGGATGATGCAGGAGATTAGGGCAGAGAAGAGGGCTGCCATCCTGCATGTACTGCTCAATACCCTGGAGTGAATGCTGCTTTACACACTCATTTAATCCTTAAAAAACCCTATCAGGTGTGATTTCTATCTTAGAGATGAGGAAACTGAGATGCAGAGGTTAAGTAACTTTCCAAACAACCGCTGTAACTAGAAGTGCTGGGAGTAAGTACAGAGCCAAACGTATTGAAGTAACTGAAGTAATTTCTCTGCTGTCCCACCTCAGCCATGTCCACATGGACTCCCAATATACCTGAGGACCCAGAGAGGGAAAAATAGATGATGTAAGTGGAAGAAGAATTCAGACCAGGAAAATGGTAGGAGCAGAACTAGGAGTAAATCTGGAAGGCTTCCTGGAAGAGAGAAGACTCAGTAGAGAATCATCCCTGCAGCAGGCCCTTATAGCACACTGACCCTAGGCACAGCCCTCAGGCAGGGCATAGTCACAACTTCAAAATTTATGTGACAAAGAGACATAAAATAAGTATTAAGAGGTAAAGCGCAGTGACTAAGCTGCGAATGTTAAAGCCAGAACTACCCAAGCTCTGACTGCTGCTTCCTAGGTTTGTGACCTTTAGCAAGTTATTTAGCTACAATCCATATGTAAACTGGAAACAATAACATACTTACGTTATAGAGTTATTGTAAGGACTAAATGTGTTAACATGTGCTTGGAAACGATCCTGACACTTAAGTTTTAGCTATTCCTATTATTTACAACATTCTGTTTGTAGAGTGGGAAGGGTGCTCCAGAGAGAGGGAACAGCAGAAGCAGCTATTTGGAAAGGAGAAGACTGGGCTGGGAAGTGGGACAAGGCCTCGTGGTGGTGGTACAGTGTGGACGTGCCCACTTTCACTTCCTCTCTGAGAGCCCAGAAGCTTCTAGATGTGTAGTCAAGACCAGAAAAAGACTGCTAGAGCCCACTGGCTGAGTGTGGGCTCTAAAACTGGGCAGTTAGGTTTCATTTACATCACAGATGAGTGTGGGCTCATCTGTGAAGCATGAAATACATTGAGCACCCAGTAAGCCATTCCCACGTGTCAAGTTTGAGTAATTGTTAGTGAATGAATCATACCTGTGAGTTTGGGGGTGGACACTGGGATATGGGGAGTTTTAGGGTCAGGATCGGGCTTCTCCCCCATCACAGGAGCTTGACCAGGAGGAGCTCTTCGTGGCTGTGGAAATGCTCTCAGCAGTGGTCCTGATTAACCAGGCCCTGGAAGCCAGGGACGCCAATGGCTTCTGGAACAGTCTGGTGAACCCTGCCACTGGCCTGGCTGAGGTGGAAGGAGACAATGCTCAACGGTGAGAAGGAATTAGCCACGTGCTAAGAGTGAGGGGTGGCGGGAATGGAGCCAGGACTCCAAGTTCTTGTTGGAGACTCCTCTTTTGCGTGAGGCCCTGCTCTTGGACCAGCCCACCCTCTGGGTCTGTTTGCTGGTTAATGTTTCTTCCTGATAGTGGGTGGTTCATGGTCATTCCCTTTTCCTCCTTTTATTCATTCCTTCATGTGAAGGCTTAAGTATCCACTCACATGCCAGATACTGTTCTGAGTGCTGGGAAACAATAGTGAACAAAACAATGTTCCTGCTCTCATCAAACTGACATGACAGGGCCTCCCGGGTGGCGCAGCGGTTGAGCGGTTGAGCGCTGGGCTACAAAGCTGCCCGCAGCCTCTGCGCCAGTTCGATCCCCGGCTGCCGGCCAGGGTCCCACATGGCGCAGCAGACCTCTCCTGTCTCACTGCTGCTCCCCTCAGCAGTGTACTTCGTCAGTCTGCCTGTTCTGCTTTCCGCTCTGGCTCTGGTGAATTCTCTCACCCTCCCCCACTTCTGACTGTACCCAGTGCTTGTATAAATAAATGAATGAATGAATGAATGAATGAATCTTAAAAAAAACAAAACTGACATGTTAGTTGAGGAAGACAGACAAAAACCCAGTCAGATGATTAGAAGAGAAGAGGTGCTATGGCAAAAAATAACAGGACATAAGGATTAAAGAAGGGGAGCATGTGTGTCTGTCTAACAGAGTGGCTGTGGGAGGCCTCTTTGGTAAGGGGCTCACTTTAGAGAGACCTAGAAGGCATAGGTGATGGCCATGAGGCTACCTGGGGCACAGGCCCTGAGAAGAAGTCAGTGTGGTGTGTGCTAAGAATGTCAGATAGCCATGTGGCAGGGTGGAGTGTGGAAGGGAGAAGAGTGGGAGAGGAAGTAGCAGAGCTCTTGACCATGTGGCTCCTGGCTTTCATTCCAAGTGAGGGAGGAAGCCAGGGGAGGGCCCTCCTTGAGGAGGGAGATGATCTGACCTACTTTTAATAGGACCCCTCTGGCTGCTGTGCTAGGAGTCAACTGTAGGGTCAGGATGGGAGAGGTGGGTAGACCTGTTCAATGTCTGTTGGAGTAATCCAGGCAAGTGATGACAGGGCCTTTCCTAGGGCGGTAGTGCAGAGGTGGTAAGGAGGAGGCCAATTTTAGATATATTCTGAAAGCCCAACTGGCAGGATTTGGTTATGTAGTGGATCTAGGGTATGAGAGAGATTAGAGTTGGGTGTGACACTGGGGTTTTGGGCCTGGGATTGCAATGAATATTCACTCACCTGGGAAAGAACACAGGAGACACAGGTCAAGCAGGGAACCAGGAGTCGAGCTGTGAGCTGTTATAAGCGCCTCCCTTGAAGATCTAAGGAGGCAGCTGGGATGTATGAATGCTCTGGAGGTGTACTTCATGATACTTCAGGCCATGAGATTAGGTGAGATGACCTAGGATATGAGTGGAGCAAGAGCTCAGACTGAGCCTGGGGGATGCTCTGGTGTTCAGCGGTTAAGGAGGAAACAGCAGAGGAGATGGTTAGAACAACCTGTGAGGTGAGAAGAGAACCAAAAGAGTATGATGATCTGGAGGTCAAGCGAGGACAGTGGTTCAAAAGATCCCCCTGATTCTGTCTAATATACTTGCACTGCTTATCGCACCCTCTCACCCTGCTGCCAGTTACTTTGATGCTTTGGTGAAGCTGCGACAGGTGCGTGGAATAGATGGGACCATGTTGAGCTGGAATGACCTGCAGGCCACTGTGTGCCAGGTCAATGCCCATGTCCAGGAAGAGACCGATCGTGAGTGCCGGGGGCTGGGGGACACGGCCCAACATGGGCAACCCTATCCTTTAGCCATGAGTCTGGACCCTCTGCCTACTAGCTCTTTTTCCCAGAGGTCCTTGCTGTCAATCTCATCAATGAAGCTCTGGACCAAGACAACCCTGAGAAGACTATCTCTGCCCTGCTGCTTCCCACTGCCGGCCTGGATGGTGTCAGCCTCCCTGTTGCCCCTCGGTACCATCTCCTCCTAGTGGCAGCCAAAAGGCAGAAGGCCCAGGTGAGGTTTGCACTAGCTAGGTTGGTCATCGGAGCAGAAAGAACATCCCATGTGGGTAGAGTTGTGCCCAGTTTGCACCCTGGGACAACGCCAGGGCAATAGATACAGTTTCTCCCCAGGGGTGGGGTGCGAGAGGCGTTCTGGTCTATAGGGACAGATGGCTCCCACTTTCAGGGCCCTGGACAGAGCAAAAGAGGACAGTGAGGGCCATGTGTGGGGGGAGAACAAAGGCCTGGGAGACAGAGAACCCATGCTGGGTTTACTGCTCTGACACTCAGAGACTGTGTGACCTGAACAAGCCCTTAACATCTCTGAGCTGTACTTATTCATCCATACAACAATGCCTGCCTCCTCGAATGGAAGTAAAATCAAGTGCGTGAAAACTGACAGGGTTTTGAAACCTATTATACCTTGAGCATGTGGCAGTGGAGAGTGGTTGAGGGCCAAGTCTCCTGAGCTACCTAATAATGCTGTTCATGTTCTTTACTGCTCTCTGCCTCATTTCCTCACCTACAAATGTGATGATAATGAACTTAGCTGAGAGAAAGGGAATTTAAGTGAGATGTGATAGGAGTGCTGACTAACATTGATTCTTTACTCTGTCCAAGCACTATTTTATGTGCTTTATAGACATTCATTCACAGCAGAGTGTCTTAGCCCCCGTCTAAACATAGTGCTCAATAAAATGTTAGTTCAGGAAGCCCATTAATGAGGAGAGTTGGGAGGGTTTGGGGTTGGGTGAGATGAGAGAGGGAACTGACCTGTCAGTGTGGCAGGTATGGGCTCACTCAACCCATGGTCACTTGTAATCTCCCAGCATAGGAACAGGGATAGGAAGGAGAAAGTCATGGTCAAAACTGGTCTGAGAAGGTATGAATTGAGCCACAGGGAATGGTCACTAGGGGCAGGTCGGTAGAGCCTCCAGTGTGGGCTCTCCTTGGTCCAGGCTAAGGCACCAGGGCAGGAAAGTGAGCTATTGAGAAGGTGGTAGATACTGAGGGTTTAAGAGGATTCTGGAGATGCTATGGTCAAGCTGAGTTTATTTTGGGCCAGCCTGAAAATAGGGTAGGAAGGAAGCTTGTGGGCCTGGCATCAGGCCAAGGGTGGAGAATGCTGTCCCCGTGGCTCACAATATTGGCCTGCAGGTTGTTTCCTCCAGGAAGCAGAACCTAGGTACTTGGTGAGACCAGACTGGGTGCTCATATTTTCCCTCTCGCAACTTACCAGGTGACAGGAGACCCTGGAGCTGTGCTGTGGCTGGAAGAGATCCGCCAAGAAGTGGTTAGAGCTAACCGGGATACTGACACAGCTCAGAGAAGTAAATGGCCAACAGGGGCAACAGAAGCAGAGGGGAGGGAGGGAGTAGGGGCTCAGCAGAAGTCCAGATAATCAGGTAGCCTTCCAGTCACCTCCCATTCCCTTTCAGCCGCAGAACAGAAGGGTTGCTGCTTGGACTATAAGATTGATTTCCTATCGGTCAGCTGAGCAGGAAATCTTTGGGAGTTGAAGGCCCATGGTCCTTCTCCTGTGTCCTTATATGCACTTTCCCCCACAATGTGAGCATGTAAAAATCAAGTGGTGGACAGAATTTTTTCCCATTTTTGACTAATGGCTTGAGTTTGGGTTCTAATACTCAGCTCTGGTCAGAGAAGGTTTAGTCTTGAGAGGAGGAGGGGAGGGGTTGGCTCTAAGGAAAAGTAGGCAGGGTCATTGCAAGTGCACAGTGGTGCTGCAGGTGTTAGCTGTGTAAGGGGCCCCTGTCCTGATGCTGAGTGACTGAAACAAAGGTGCTACATCTGCCCTCTACCACTGCAACCTTTCTTGGACTTCATTCACCTGAGACGCTGTCCTGAGGGTTTCTGCCCATGTCTTGCCTTTGAGTTTCTTTTTGAGTTGATGTCTGTACGAAACCCCAACCCCACGCTGCCCGCTCCAGGAAGTCTTCCTTTATTGCCACCTTTTCCTCCCAGCACAGCTGCTCGCTGCTTCTTTTCATTTGTGTCTGTGTCCATTCTGAATAGTACCCTGTCCCATCAGATGGGGTGTTTTTATGTCCTCTGAATCCCTCCCCAGTGGACAGGACAGTGTCCGTGGGAGGAACTCAGAGAAGGACTGACTGCTCCCTCCTGATGCTCCGTCAGTGGCTCTTGGTGTGGCCGCCATCAATCAGGCCATCAAAGAGGGCAAGGCAGCCCAGACAGAGCGAGTGTTAAGGAACCCTGCCGTGGCCCTCCGAGGGGTGGTTCCCAACTGTGCTAATGGCTACCAGCGAGTCCTAGAAGATATCATGGCAAAGAAGCAGTGCCCAGGTAATGGCCCTAGCCTGATCCTCTGCTTCTCTGCCTACCCCAGCCACCTCTTGCCTCCTCTAAGGCTCCTCTGCTTATTTTGCTTCTACTTAGGGGACACAGCTTTCTGGGTTCAACATGACATGAAGGATGGCGCTGCCTACTACTTCCATCTGCAGACATTCCAAGGGACCTGGGAGCAGCCCCCCGGGTGCCACCTCAATACTTCTCATCTGACACGGGAGGAGATCCAGGTTGGCAGGGCCCCTGCAAGGAAGAAAGGTCACAGAGGGGCATTCCCCGCAGGCGACACATCCACCCATCAGGGTACCACGGGCTCTCTCTCCTACCTCCACAGTCAGCTATCACCAAGGTCACCGCTGCCCACGACCGCCGGCAGCTCTGGAAGGCCAACGTCGACTTTGTCATCCGGCTCCAAGCCCGCCTCCGTGGCTTCCTGGCTCGGCAGAAGTTTGCTGAACGTTCCCACTTTCTGAGGACCTGGCTCCCTGCAGTCATCAAGATCCAGGTAGCAGGCTCTGCCTTTCTAAGTCTTTGGGGCCCGAGCTTATCTGAGATTCAGGGTGTCCTCCCTACTTCCTTTTTGCCAAATGGAGTTGGGATGATTTTTGGTCTCTGAACATAGTAACGGATTCTGGAACCCAGACTATCTGAGTTTGAATCCCAGCTCTGCCACCTGTATGACCTTGACAAGTGACTTACTCTGGCCCAGTTTCCTCCAAAAAATCTGAAAATTATAGTAGCCACCTTTACGGTCGTAATGAAGATTAAGTGGGTTAATGTCTATAGTGCCTGTGGACAGGCAAGGACAGTAAAGTTCTAGTCACCACCCTCACCATCACCATCCAGAAGGTATGGGCTGCTTTTCACCTTCCACGCCGTGAAGGTGGAGTGGAATCAGATTTAGTAAGATACCAAGGTCAGACACTAGAAGAAGAACAGTGAAGAGCTGTTGATGGTTAAATTTTATAAAAGAATATCTCTCAGAGAAAGAACTTGTGCTTTTCCTCTCCAGCCAGCCCTTCCCATTTTCATTCTTCCAGCCTGCAGATGGCCCAGCTTAGCTTCCAAGACTGGCCCCCTAGTGACTGGCACAGGAGGCCTACTGGGAAGATAAGCCTCAGGCCTGGACACTTCATAAGGCAGGAGTAGCAAATGGAGAGCTCCCCAGCTAGATAGGACCCTGAGGGCCTCATGGGGATACTGGTGGTTTAAAGATAATTTAGTCAACCTCTCTGAATGCCTGATGTCTGCAAAGTTTGCCACTTGGCACTGAGCAAGATGCCAAGTGGAGGATGGGGGTGAGACACACAGATGAGTGATCACATCAACTCTCCCCACCGGGACCTGGAATGTAGTTGATGTTTGATATTGTGATTGTAGGGACATAAAGACAATGCCAGAGAACTCAAGGGAGACAGATATACCAGCTAAGGCTGGCAAACAGCCTTGCTCATAATCTGGGGCATGCAGGATGGTAACTGAGAGCTCAGGCTTTGGAGTCAGAGCTTGGAGTTTGCCCTCTAGTCCTGCCACTTCCAGGTCAGTTGATCTGGGGCCCTCTCCAACACTCAGTTTTCTTGTTCAGAATGGTGGAACTTGCCTCATGTGCCGATTATGGGGATTAAATAGAAAAATTACGTGTAGCATTTAGCACAATAAGCACTGTTGGTGGTAGCCATTATGAGATGTTGCATTTTGGAGCTTTGGTCCCAGAACTCAAGCAAAACTTTAATAGTCACCACTAGGTGGTCTGAACCCGGGATTCCACTCCTGATCCCAGGCCAAAATTTCATACCAATTCTAGGGAGTGGAAAAGCCATACCAATGGTAGGAGAGCAGGTGGACTCAGAGGGCACATGTGCCACCAATACAGGAACTGTGTGGGCACTGCCTGGGTCCTGGGAGATAGAGAAAGAGAATTGTTCAGAGCCTCCCGCCACCTGCCCTCCTGCTTGGGGAAGTAAGAGTCAGAGACGAGGCCACTTGGGTGTGCTGAGACTTTAACCTCTCCTGAAAGTTCTGACTCTGGCTGGGACCCCAGTCAGGGTCTTGAATTCCTACCAAGCCAGACTGGTCCCTTTTAAGGAGGCGCCCAGTGGTGGTGGGCAGGACCCCTCTGCTTTCACTCCAGGCCCTGACCAGAGGACATGTCAGGCCATACCTGGAGTAGGAGAAGGAGGGCTGAGGAAAGGCATGAAAATGGGGTTTCCTTACTTCGAGGCTCCAAGATGGCTCGCTTATGTCCCATTCCCACAGAGGGACACAGGAAACCTTAGGGGCCAGCCTGGCCAAGATAGTTTGGTTTAGGACAGACTGGGAGGGTAACTGTCCAAAAGAAGATGATCTTAATTCACCAAACTGCAAAAGTGCCAGTGGTAGATTACCCTCTGGAGCCTGAGGACTATGAGATGTTTGATGTGGGCCCTAAGGGACAGGAAGTATTTCATGGGTAGAGGCAGGACTGGGAGCGAGGATGGGCATAAACAGAGGTTCACGGGCAGATATCCATTTGATATGTTTAGGAAAAATGTCTGGTTCCACTAGAATCTTTTATGAAGGTAAGGGACCAGGGCCTCCCTGGTGGCGCAAGGGGTTAATATGCAACCTATGAGGCTATCCGCAGCCACTGCATCATGAGTTCGATCCCCCACCAGGGAGCTACCCACATGGCGCAGCAGACCTCTCCTGACTCGCCTGCTGCTCCCCTCAGCAGTGTATTTCAGTCAATCTGCCTGTTCTATCTCTGGTGAATCCTCTCACTCCCCACACCTCTGGCCTGTACCCTAGTTCTGGTATGTGTAAATAAATAAATCTTTTTTTTAAAAAAAAAAAAAAAAAAAGAGGGCCTCCCCGGTGGCGCAGCAGTTGAGCGCTGGGTTGAGAAGCTGCCCACCGCCTCTGCAGCGCCGGTTCGATCCCCAGCCACCAGAGGAGGGTCCCACATGGCGCGCAGACCTCTCCTGCCACCCACTGCTCCCCTCAGCAGTGTACTTTCGGTCCTTCTGCCTGCTCTGCTCCCCGCTCTGGTGAATTCTCTCACCCTCCCGCGCTTCTGACTGTACCCAGTGCTTATATAAATAAATAAATAGATAGATAGATAGATAGATAGATAGATAGATAGATAGATAGATAGATAGATAGATAAATAAATAAATAAACCCTGCTTTTTAAAAAAAAAAAGTTGAAAACTTCTGGGAACTTTGGGACTGGAAGAGGAAAAAGTCGAAGTGGTGCTTGGGCATCAGGGAAGAGGAAGGAGGTCACATGCTGAAAGGTAGCCACAAGGTGTGTATTTTAGAGAAAAAAGGGTGCATGATTTATGGAAAAATCTGACTGCAGCCCAGCAGTCCTGGAGAGACCACGGACTGACAACTGAATTACTGGGCACCTCATTGGGAAAATTGCTTCCAGCCGGGCTCAGTAGCTGGGCGGTGTGGTGGTAAAGGGAAGTGTGAGTAGTGAGACCACTGTCCGGATGCCTACTGGCAGAGATGGTGGCAGCACTGTGTCATGGTGTACCCCTAAAAACTGCTGTGTGATAGTGTGGGGGTGGTCTCTATAGGGGTGTATGAGTGTGTTTTGGGGGATCTAGCATGTGCTCTGGTAAAGTTGGTGAGTGGATATATGCTTTACTGGTATCATTTAAGTTTGTGTCTTATAGGTGAGTTTCTGGGAGGTTAGGATGGTGGGGTGTGTTGGTTAGCGTGGGGGGGGGGTGTTTGTGTGGTGCCCGTTTGCGAGTAGTCACACGAGCACAAAGACCAGGGAGTGGGGCAGCGGGCTGTGGTTGGCTATGTGCATGTTTGGTCTCCCCCATGAAGTCAGAGGTTCTTTGAGAACAGGGCCAGTTTCCTCTCCCCCCGACTCTAACTGCCTGCCCTTACCCTTGCCCCCTTCCCTGGATACCAGGCTTTCCCCACAAGCCTGTTAGGCTAACAGGGACCAACCAACTAAGGTTACCTCTTTTTCTCTCCTGATGTGCAGGCTCATTGGCGGGGTTGCAGACAGAGAAAGATTTATCTAGAACGGTTGCAGTATTTAAAGGCAAACATGGATGCCGTGATCAAGGTAGCTATCACGATTTGGGCAGGATTCTGCCTCTTGAAGGGCCCTGTGAGGACAACTGTTTAGCCCTCTCACCTCCTGTGATTTGGAGATAGTGAGCTAGCCTGGGGCTAAGGAGGCCCTGAGCTGAGAGCTCTGAGGCAGCTTGTGTCTCCTTTCAGATCCAGGCATGGGTCCGCATGTGGGCAGCTCGGAGGCGATACCGAAAGCGTCTGGGCTACTTCCAGAAGAATGTGAGTCTCAGCCTGCTTCTCCTGTCCCCACACTCAACCTTAATCTGCACCTTTGAGATCAAGGCATGGGCAGTTGGAAACCCTTTCCTATCTGTGTTCATGGCAGGTTAACTCCGTTGTGAAGATCCAGGCGTTTTTCCGAGCCAGGAAAGCCCGGGGTGACTATAGAGCCTTAGGTAAGCTGCCTGGTCTCCTCTGGGTTGTGAAAAAACTGCCTAGGTCCCTCCTATCTGTCTGAGTGTCTGTAACTTCGTGGTGTTCAACAGTCAGCAGGGCAGAGCACTTATACACTGGGGCCCTGGAGGAATTTTCTGGCCTTCTTGAGCCCTCTTCTGTCACCAACAGCTGGTGTCCCCAGTCTCAAGTGATCTGCCCTCTCTGTTCCTCAGTGATATCATCAGTAAATTGTAATATATTGATCTCACAGGCATGTCCCATAGTACACAAATTATGTATATTCATTATTTCATTGTCATTCCCTTTAGCTTTGCTCAGAGGCTTCACTTTACTCGAATACCCATTCCAAAAGGCCCAAGGAGATGCACCATCTAGCTCTGACCTCCTTGTATTATAAAAACCTACCGAGTATTCCTCTATCTGCGCACCCCCATGTACATTCCTGACAGAGGTGGGTTGTGTGGCTCAGGCAGGGCTGAGTAGAGGATGATACGTGGAAGTGAACTTGGAGTGAAGGATGAGAATAAGTCAACCCATGGGAGTGAGAAGTGAATTGGGTTGGGGAATCATCAGAGGGAGCTTGGGCTCAGATTCTGATGTAGGGATAGGTCCAGGTTGGGGTGAATTCAGGAGTAAGGGGAGGACAGGGGCGTCCCTGGTAGCTCAAAGTGTTATGACACAACCTATGAAGCTGTCCACAGCCTCTGCAGCACGAGTTCGATTCCCGGCCAGCCAGGGAGCAACCCACATGGCACAGCAGACCTCTCCTGACTCGCCTGCTGCTCCCCTCAGCAGTGTATTCAGTCAGTCTGCCTGTTCTGTTCCCCACTCTGTCTCTGGTGAATCCTCTCAACCCCCTCACCCCCCACACACACACATCTCTGGACTGTACTCCAGCTCTTGTATGTATAAATAAATAAATCCTTTAAAAAGGGGGTGGGGACAGTTGTTATGCCATACCTGGTTATAAGGTCATGAACAGAACTAGCTAGCTAGCTACCCACTGCCTTCCAACTGTAAACAGAACCAGTTAGAAGAGAACTGGCCTAGGAACCTGCTGGCCTCAAGCAGAATAGGAACTGACAGTGGGATAACAGGTCAGGAGGGGCAAAGAAGCCTCTGGTGTGGGTATGTCTAATCGCGATGCTCTTCTCTTCCTGCCAGTCCACATGTCCCATCCCCCTCTCAGCGTAGTACGAAAATTTGCCCACCTCTTAAATCAAAGCCAGCAGGACTTCTTGGCTGAAGCAGAGCTACTGAAGCTCCAGGAAGAGGTAGTCAGGAAGATCCGGTCCAATCAGCAGCTAGAACAGGACCTCAACCTCATGGACATCAAGATTGGCCTGTTGGTAAAGAACCGGATCACACTACAGGTGAGGGACCCTCTGATCCACCCTGGCTCAGGTCCTTGTTACAGTGATTATCTGTCCTTCTAGTAATTTGTTGAGGCATATGATGTAGTAGGAAAAGCCTGGATATAATAAAATTGAAATTCCTGGCTTTACTGATTTGTTGTGATGAACCTGTGGGCTGTCAGTTAACCTCTGAGTCCATTTCCCTATTACAGTGGAAATAGGGCCTCCCTGGCAGCACATGGGGTTGAGCACAGCACGACGAAGCTGTCCGCAGCCTCTGCAGCACGAGTTCGATCCCCAGTCTGCCAGGGAGCTACCCATAGCACAGTAGACCTCTCCTGTCTCGCCCGCTGCTCCCCTCAGCAGTGTATTTGTCAATCTGCCTGTTCTGTTCCCCAGTCTATTTCTGGTGAATCCTCTCACCCCTGCCCACCTCTGGCCTGTACCCCAGTTCTTGTATGCATAAATAAGTAAATCTTCCCAAAAAATGGAAATAGAGTGCCCACGTCACTGGCCAGATGTAGAGATAGATATGCAACTCCTCAAACTGTTAATTGCCGTACAAATAAGAGTGATGGGATAGAAGGGATACGGCGCTGTCTCCTCCTGAAATTTATACAGCAGTCAAATAAGAAAGAGCAAAAGCTAAGAGACATGATGTGTCAGCCTGGAAACCCAGTTGTCCCTCTGGACTCATGCTGGAGAGCAGAGGTGCAGATGGAGGCTCAGGGCAGGAGGGGGCCCTTCCTCACCCTAGAACCACTTATCTCCTTTGGCTCATACCTTGAATACCTTGAATAGCAAAAAGCCCTGGCTCTTCAAGATGCTGATTCTAGACTATATGTTCTGTGCTGGCCTGAACTGATTGTATACCTGCTCCCCCACCTTGTAGGAGGTGGTCTCCCACTGCAAGAAGCTCACCAAAAAGAATAAGGAACAGCTTTCAGACATGATGGTTCTGGACAAACAGAAGGGATTAAAGTCTCTGAGTAAAGAGAAACGGCAGAAACTAGAAGCTTACCAACACCTCTTGTACCTGCTCCAGGTAAGCAGAGGAATTTGGAAGATGCCCACCATCCCCTTAGGGCCTAGGACCTTGAGGCCCTCATGTCTGTGCCTTGACCTCCATGTAAGGTGTTATTTCCCATAATCCTAATGCCTTGACCCCAGGAAGAAAGACAACCTGCTTCCATTTGTCTGGGCTGTCTCCTGCATCCCTGAGACACTGGGACAGTGCTTTGCCTAGTCCAAGTTCCCACTGGAAAACCTTTCTTTACCTCATGATTAGTCCTTGAGATACGCTATCAGCCATTTCTCTCTCCCCTGTTGCTGCAGACTCATCCTATCTATCTGGCCAAGCTGATCTTCCAGATGCCACAGAACAAAACCACCAAGTTCATGGAGTCAGTGATTTTCAGCCTATACAACTATGCCTCTAACCGCCGTGAGGCCTACCTTCTACTCCAGCTCTTCAAGACCGCACTCCAGGAGGAAATCAAGTAGGTTTTCCAGATGCCAAGGAACGGGAAGAGCATGGGCTAAGAGACACCACTGTTGGCTCCTTCACCAGGCCCCAGTTTATTGAGGTTTGAGGGTAGAAATGGAACCAAAAGACTTCTTTACTTTGCCTCCTATCAAGTGACCATAAGGCTCTCCTGAGAAATACTATGGGAGGATAGGCTGACATGTTAGCACAAAGGGTAAGAGAGAGATAGCAGGACATTTCCTAAGTGGAGGGACACCAGAGCATGCTTTAAAGAGCCAGAAATCTCAAAAAAGGAAAACAGAGGCCTTCCTGGTGGTGCAAGGGGTTAAGACACAACCTATGAAGCTATCCCCAGCCACTGCAGCATGGGTTTGATTCCCGGCCAGGGAGGTAACCCACATGGCACAGCAGACTACTCCTGACTCGCCCGCTCCTCCCTTCAGCAGTGTATTTCAGTCAATCTGCCTGTTCTGTTTCCCATTCTGTCTCTGGTGAATCCTCTTGCCCTCCACACCTCTGGCCTATACCCCATTTCTTATATGTATAAATAATCTTTTTTTTTAAAAAAAAAAAAAAAGGAAAACAGCTATTTGTCCTCCAGAGGCAGGAGACCAGCTCAATGGCCTTTTGAATCATAGGTCAAAGGTGGAGCAGCCCCAGGACATGGTGACAGGTAACCCTACTGTGGTGAGACTGGTGGTGAGATTCTACCGTAATGGGCGGGGCCAGAGTGCTCTGCAGGAGATTCTGGGCAAGGTTATCCAGGATGTGCTGGAAGACAAGCTGCTCAGCGTTCACACAGACCCTGTCCACCTCTACAAGAGCTGGATCAACCAGACTGAGGCCCAGACAGGGCAGCGCAGGTGAGCAGCAGCAGCAGGAGAGCTCTCTTTGATCAGTTTGGTCTTGGATCTCATTGGGGAAGCTTGGGTATGCTTTGAAGGTGGCATATAAATGAGCATGCAGATTTATGCAAATATGACACCAACCCTATAGGATGTATGGTAGCCTTTTCACCCCCTTGGTAATTAACATGAAACTGATATAAATGACACCAGACCTGGTGTGCTTAACATAGAATGAATATGCAAATGTGTTTAATTGCTATGTCATTGCTTGCAAATGATATATCAAATTTGCTGAGAGTTAGGATATGGACTCCTTATTGATGCAGTATAGATGAATATTCAGGTTTATAGTTGAACAGGCAAATGAGACAGTAGGAAAAATAGGCTGGCCTTATAGATTGGAGACATTACTCAGGCACACAAGTACATGGGACATGGAGACACTGTCAAGAGCAGGCAGTGCTGGTGTCTTCTCTGGCATGCAGACTTCAGGTGGGGGGACTGCAAGGTCCTGGCCCAACCTCACCTATCACCCCAACTGCCAAATATGAGACACAGGGCAGCCCTGCTCTCCTCCATTACCACTTAGGAATCTTCCTAATTTCTCCATTCCTTCTTAATCCTCTTCCACCTCTGCGTGGGCACTCCAACTCCTCCTTTACCCATCTCTCCATTCCCCCCTGAGTCCTTTCTCTTGTTCTGGCCTGATTCCCCTAAGCATACTGGACTGCCCTTTTCATATATAAATAAGAAACTGTTGTGAAGACTTTAAGAGCTAGAGCCTCAGGAAGGGGAGACCAAGGGATACGTTATCACTTTCTGTTCACAGCCATCTCCCCTATGATGTCACCCCAGAGCAAGCCTTGAGTCACTCTGAGGTCCAGAGACGGCTGGACATCTCCCTTCGCAATCTCCTCGCCCTGACGGAGAAGTTCCTTGTAGCCATCATGTCATCTGTGGACCAAATTCCGTATGTGTATCAGCCCCTCCCAGGCTGAGGCATGGAATTTCAGCAGGCTAGGCCACAGTGGGGAGAACAAACTGAAGGGAGGGAGGGGAGCGGGGCCGAGGGTGCTTAGTGGGCTTCCAGGAGATGGACCGAGAATGCTTGAAGGCCATGCTAGGACCATGAGCTGGAATACAGCCCACAGAGCTGTGTGTGTCCTGTCAGGACATCACTGGAGTCAGAGAAGGGAACCTTGAATGATTATAAGGACATAGCATTGTCAGAGAGCAAGTGGAGAAAACAATAGGACTCTTCAGTTCACCCAGTCAAAAATAAGAAATACTTCAAACCAATAGAGCACTTTTTAGTTCTCTCCTTTCCTAAAATTTAGTCATTAAGTATTTTCTGAAAAGCAAATGGATGGGGCCTCCCCGGTGGCGCAGCAGTTGAGCACTGGGTTGCAAAGCTGCTCGCAGCTTCTGCACCACTGGTTCGACCCCTGGCCACCGGCGAGGGTCCCACAAGGCACACAGACCTCTCCTGCCGCCTGCTGCTCCCCTCAGCAGTGTACTTCGTCAATCTGCCTTCTGCTCTCCCCTCTGGCTCTGGTGAATTCTCTCACCCTCCCATGCTTCTGACTGTACCCAGTGCTTGTATAAATACATAAATAAATATTTTTTTAAAAAAATGTAGCCCTAAACTTTAAAAAAAAAAAAAAAAAGCAAATGGATGGATGCATTGGCATTGATAATTTGGGCCTCATCTGGATCATGTTCAGCCTGCAGCCTTGTTGGTGCTTGGTGCTGCAGAGGATCCTGCAGGGGGATGCTGGAGCAGGGACCCACAGAGTTCAAAATGGTGTCCCAAACCTGGAGAACTAGATCAAGGATTTACAATTAGGATTCAGAAAGGATTGTCCTAGTGCCAACAAATTACACAATGAGCTGTCAGCTTCTATCTCTGGTACCCTAGGAGGCAGAAATAGCTGTTAAACAGCTTTAATTAAATTGATAGGTGGCACATCCATAATGGGAATAATAATACTAATAGTAATGACAACAATAATAAAGTCTAGCATGTTTGACTAGCATTCTACCCTTAGTACATTACTTTCACAGATGTGATTTTACTTGTTCCTCACAAAAACCCCATGAGGCAGAGCAGGCAAGAGTGATCAATCCCATTTACCGGATTGAGAACACACTTACAAAGGGGATAGAAATAGCTGAAGAGGATGCCTCTGGCTAGTAATGGTGGAATCAGGATGGGAGCTTCCACTCCCACTCGTTCCCTTTGCACCCGTCTCCAGCGCAAACCAGCCCCCTCAAAGATGGTCTATGATGACAGACAGGGCTGGCCTCGGAGTCTCCCGAGCACAAGCTAAAGGTGCTTTGAGGGGAAAGGCAGGATCTGAGGTGCTCCCCAGGGGAGACTAGAGGGAACCAAAGAAGAGACTCTCAGGCCAGGTTGGAAGGCTGTGTGTAAGCTTAGTAGATGGCAGGCCTGGTCTTGTGTGTTGACACCAGGCAGGATTTCAGGCAGGTCAGAGATACTTGGAGGATGGCTGTGGAGTACTGGCTGGGGTAGTGTAACATGGAGCCAGGAATGAGAGGCAGGCAAACACTCGCGGCCTTCACTCTGATAGCGGGGGCAGTACCATAATAACCCAGTTGTGTCCCCAGGTATGGGATGCGATACGTGGCCAAGGTCCTGAAGACAACTCTGACAGAGAAGTTCCCCAATGCCACAGAGAATGACATCTACAAGGCAAGTGTTGTCTCCCTTCCCTGACCTCCCAAGCTCCCTCTTGCCCTGCTGAGGCCAGTGAATCCCCAAACAGAGATAAAAGAACAGAAAACCCTATGCCAGAAAAATCCATGAGATAAATAGCCTCTAACCTATAAATGGACCCTGGCTTACCAGCAGGGCTTCAGATGGCAGATGGAAAGGCGACTGGGGCATGAGCTAACAGAGTGGACAACTTATCAAGACCTGCGTTCTAATCCCAGCTCTTGCTCAGTTTGCTGTGACCTTGAGCAAGCTGCTAACCTGCTCTGGACCTGTTTTCTCTGTAAAATGACAGGGTTGGCCAAGATGGTTCCTTCCACCCTTGTAGGCTGGGAGAGTGGGGCAAGGGCAGATCCCAGGGCGCTTCTGGGATAGTCTCCTCTGCCCTCAGGTGGTAGGAAACCTTCTGTACTACCGGTTCCTGAACCCAGCTGTTGTGGCCCCCGATGCCTTTGACATTGTGGCCATGGCGGCAGGTGGCGCCCTGGCAGCCCCCCAGCGCCACGCTTTGGGAGCTGTGGCTCAACTCCTGCAGCATGCTGCGGCTGGAAAGGCCTTCTCTGGGGAGAGCCAGCACCTGCAGGTCTTGAATGACTATCTGGAGGAGACTCACCTCAAGTTCAGGTCTTGCATCCCGGCAGCCTATTCCTCCCTAACCCTTTTTCTCCTCTCCCATGTTTTTTCTACTCCCTCTCTCTGGAATCCATGGGGAAGACAGGCATACAAGGGAAGAGTGGTTAGTGGGCTGGAGACTAGATTGTTGGAAGGGGAACATTGGGAGAGAGAGAAGGGGGACATTGGGAGAGAGGTGGGCGAAGCAGAGGGGTCGCTGCCCAGACTGGAGACTCAAAAGTTGGCCTGAGCAGTCCCTGGATAGACCAGAAGGTCTTGTGGGGATACTGGCTCCTACCCTCTCTCATTTGCCTGCCCTCTGGGGACAGGAGGTTCATCTGCCGAGCCTGCCAGGTACGAGAGCCTGAAGAGCGCTTTGCGATGGACGAGTACACGGACATGGTGGCTGTGGCCAAGCCCATGGTGTACATCACCGTGGGGGAGCTGGTCAACACACACAGGGTAAGGGACTGAACCTGGAGGGCTCTGGGGTGGTGGGAGGTGGGCAGGGCTTTGGAAGTCCACAGTGAGACAGGGCTCACTAGCTCTGGAAGGCTCAACCCTGTGTCCCCTTTTCTTCCTTCTCCTGCAGTTGTTGCTGGAGCACCAGGACTTGATTGCCCCTGATCACCGCGACCCCCTGCACGAACTCCTGGAGGACCTTGGGGAGCTGCCGACTGTCTCTGACCTCATTGGTGCGTGCCATTCTTGGTACTTTGGGTGACAGTAGGGAGGGCGGACAGGCAGGTGAGCAGGTCCTCTCTCGAATTTCTGTTCAGTCTGGGGCTGTGCCAGCAGATCACTGCACACGTTCCCTTTATATCTCATTCCCGTCCTGTCACGGGCACAGATTGACTTAAAGAGAGTGGACAGACGATAGCGGGCCCAGCACCACTACACAAGTGGCCAGTGAAATCATGCAAGGTGGATGTGGAGGCACAGGGGTTCTCTGATGAGGAGGGACCCTAGGAGCCGTGGGACAGGAGGGCGCTGGCTTATAGTGAGCAAGGTGAGGGCACAAATAGGAGAGAATCAGGAGCTGCAGGCTCAGAAAGGTGCAGCCCCCTGTCTTCAGGGCACCCAGGGCTGAGGGTGTCGAGGAGGTGCTCCCCAGGAGTGCAAAGACAAGCTCTGTGGGCAACAGTCCTTTCACCGGGTTCAGCATTGAGGGGACAGGGTTGGTTCCCTGGGGCGTGTAGAAAAGCTTCCCGGAGGAGAGGCACATGGAGCAGCGTATGTGCCTGTTCCTGTAGCACTGGCCTTTCTCATCCTCATCCTGCCTCAGGGGAGAACATAACTGCAGATGGGAACGTAGATCTGAGCAAGCTGGAAGTGTCACTGACACTCACAAACAAGTTTGAAGGGCTGGAAGCAGACACCAATGATACCAACGCCCAGAGCCTACTGCTGAGGTGGGTGAGAGCCTCTCAGCCCTGTGACCTGAGCTCCCCTCTCAGGCCAGTACAATGGCCCTGCTCTGAAGTGGCCATTCCACCTCCTTCCTGGGTGCTCATCCTTCCGTTGTTCTCCCTGACGCTTTATGGCCTTCCCTTTCCTACAGCCTCAGCTATTTTGACCACTGCAGCTTTCTGCTTTGTGTTGTGACTAAAGGCAAAGGAGTAGTTAGTATACTAGCAACAATGGATGTTTGTGTATCTTTGTGCTGTCTACCAAATAAATGCCTTTCTTCTTTCTCTAATGCTTTTTTATGTTATTACTTAAAAATGAACTATGAAATAAAGCTGGTGTCCCGGCTTTACCACCGAGGAAAGGAACTTGGATTAAGTGACGTGCCCAGAGTCACACAGCAGTGTGGCCAGTCCCTTGTGCTGGCTGAACAGTAGTCAGGAGATGGGCTCTTCTCCCCCAGCATAGCAAGAGTGAGGGGAGAGATGGGGCGGCCTATCTGGGCCGAAAAACAACTAAGTGGCCACCTCGTTCTCCACCCACAATCTCATCTCTTCACCCAGCAAACCAGTGAAGTGGGTGTTGGCTTTGTCCTACCATGGAAGGCTCAAAGTGGGTTGGAGTTAAGGGTGAGTGCAGAGAGGGCCACCCTGAGAGGCAGCGCCACATATGGTGGGAGCTCAGGAGGGGTGACACCTGACCTGGTAAAGTCCTAGCAAGAGAAGGTGTGTACTTTAGCCCAAGCCCTCAAAGGAAGACGATGGTGGAGGACACGGGATGCAAGCATAGTGTGTTCAGAATGATGGTAGTTCTGTATCAGGCCCATCCAATCCAGCACTCTCCGCTGACTTCTCACAACACCTTTGCTTCCTCCAATGCGCTCCTTATCTCCCAAGTGTCTCAGGCAGCCATGATGTAAGTGGGGCAGGGTCCATGTCTCAGCTCTCTGGCCAGCCCTGTGTCATGTCCCTCACCTCTCCCCCATCATGCCCTTCCTGCAGCACCAAGCAGATGCTGTCTGACATCATGCAGTTCCACCCAGGGGACTCCATTGAGGAGATCCTGTGCCTCTCGGCATCCAGAGAGCAGGTAAGTAGCCAGCCAGCCACAGGTACTATCTTACTCACCCCACACCGCTCCCCTGAGCACTGCTGATTCCTTCCCTGGACCCCACCCACAGTCTTCCATAAGTGGACACCTATATTCCCCAGTAATGGGAGCTCTGAAGGGCCCAGGCCTGCCCTTAACTCAGAGGCCACAGGGGAGGAAAGCAGTGCCTGGGCTCCACTTACCTCCCCAGTCCCCACTGGAACTGGAGTAAGTTCTGCAGGGCCATCAGCCCCTGAATTCAGTGCCCTCTGTTGTGGGGGGGCACTTGAGCAGGCTAACTAAGAGTGCCAAAGGCAGGGGAGTAGGCCGCTTAAAGGACTGGAGGTAGGCGAAGGCAGTCAGTGGGTAGAGGTCTAGGGACAAGTTGGGCTACTGGAGTGAAGCCATGGACTTCCCAGAGAAGGAAAGGAAGGGCCAGGAGATACCCTGGGGCCACCATAGAATTCCATGTTTGGGAAGTTGCAGCTGGTATGTCTGGGCTTCTGTTTGGGTCTTCCTCTGCCACTCGCCTGTGTCCATCCATGAGGCCTTTATGCTGCTCTGATGTTACACTTTGATGTTCTTCATGACCCATTCCACCCCAACCCTGCTGGAAGCTGGGCTCAGGGGGCATCTGACAACACCAGGAAGTGCTCGGGTTTCCCTTTGTTTGGTGGTCCCAGGACCTGCTCTGGCTTTGGGGCAGTTCTCCTGCATCTCTGCCCTCCAGGAAGCTGCCCACAAGCGACTGATGTGCAGACGTGAGGCCTGTGAGGCCCAGACTCCAGAGCCGCTTCGACGATACCACTCGCTGACAGCTCACTCCCTCTTGCCACTGGCAGAGAAGCAGCGGCGGGTGCGAAGGAACCTGCGCCGGCTGGAGGGCCTTGGGCTGGTCAGTGCCAGCGACGGCTACCAGGGGCTGGTGGATGAACTGGCCAAGGTACTGACCTGTGCCTGGGATTGTGTGTGTGTGGGCAATGAACATGTGTATGCCCACACACTATATAGTGTCAGCACCCCAAGGACAGGCCTCTCCCTGGTTAAGTGTTCTCGCCGCCCCCCCCCCCCAAATTATCACCAGCAAGGAGGAAATCAAAAGACCGCTGAAGGGTCTTTTTTTTTTTTTAATAGAGGCATGTTTTTATTTATTTATTTATTATTTATTTATTTGTTTGTTTGTTTTGTTTATACATGCACTGGGTACAGTCAGAAGCGCGGGAGGGTGAGAGAATTCACCAGAGCCAGAGCGGGGAGCAGAGCAGGCAGAAGGACCCAAGTACACTGCTGAGGGGAGCAGCGGGCGGCAGGAGAGGTCTGCGCGCCATGTGGGACCCTCCTCCGGTGGCCGGGGAGCAGCCCGGGATAGAACCGGCGCCGCAGAGGCCGCGGGCAGCTTCGCAACCCAGCGCTCAACCTCTGCGCCACTGGGGAGGCCCTGAAGGGTCATTTTTGAAGGAAAGATCTTAAAATTAGGAAAGGGGATATTCTTCTAACTCTCCTTTACTAAAAAGGAGACTTGAACAGTTACTCCCCAGCAGGGAGAGGTCCCAAAGACATCCTTTGTGGGTTTGAGACAGAAGTCCTGAGATTATCCTGCTTGGAAAAAAAAGGCCTTGAAATCTTCCTCTCCCTACTTTTCCTGAAGAGCATAACAGTGAGTTCTTCTTGGGCCTGCGTCAGGGCCTGAGACTCTCCTACCAAGATGGACCATCTCTCCCCTCCCCAACCCCAGGACATCTACAACCAACGCAGATACCGGCAGCGGCGGAAGGCAGAGCTGGTGAAGCTGCAAGCCACTTTCCAGGGCCTGAGCACCAAGACCACCTTCTATGAGGAGCAGGGCGACTATTACAGCCAGTACATCCGGGCCTGCCTGGACCACCTGGCCCCCAGCTCCAAGTAGGCACACCTGCATCCTACACCTGTGACCGCTGCCCCGTCTGCCAGCTTTGAAAGGGCCATCTCAGCACAGCACAGCACAGCCCTTCCCAACTCTGGTCTCCCAAGTCTTGGGCTCTAGTCCAGGGCCCTCCTTTGTCCCCTGCCAGTGAGAAGTCTCCCTTGGGGTCTAATCTTCCTGCCAGCCAGATAGAACTAGAGTTGTTGGTGTTGAAGTTTGTCAGATGAATTCTCTGGGGCCTTTTTCAATCAGGAGCGCTGGAAAGAGGAAGAAGCAGCCATCCCTTCATTACACCGCTGCACAGCTCCTGGAGAAGGGTGTCTTGATAGAAATCGAGGATCTTCCCAATTCTCAGTACGTGTCTTTAGAAGGCGGTACTCCAGCCCTTTTTGTTCCCTAATCTGGGGAGGATTTTAGAGGGGATTGGGAAGGTGAGGGAGGGAGAGCCAGAGGGTCACAGCCCCTGACTGAGGAATTGTTAGAATGGGGGACAGACAGGACATCTCTAGACGGAAAGTTAAGGGCATGGACGTGGTCTAGCAGTTCCCAACAACCCAGCAAATGACTCTCGGAAGGATTCCTGGAGGAGAGAACACCTGAGTAGCGTGGGCAGGTAGAAGAGCTATGGTATGGTGAGAAGGAAAAGTGGGGGGTGACAGAGAGCTGTGCCCCAGAAGTGAGAGAGGAGAAGCCTAGGCTCTGGGCAACATCTGCCCTGCCAGGATGAGGAACGGAGTGTGGGAGAGTGAGGCTGTGATCCTGGGGAGAGACAATGGATTCCCATTTTGAATTTTATTCCCGATAGCTTCAGAAATGTGATCTTTGATATCACCCCTGGAGACGAAGCAGGAAAGTTTGAAGTAAATGCCAAGTTCCTGGGAGTGGATATGGAGCGATTTCAACTTCACTATCAGGTGAGAGGATACTCCTGTGAGCACTGATGCCTGCTGGGCTTTTGGTGCCACCCGATGCAGAGGCCAGCTTGCTTCCCTGGGCCTCCAGTGACATCAGCTCTGTTCCCCACCATCAGTGTCACCTGTTTCTGAAGAGAAGGGTGAGGGTTTGTGCAGCCCAAACCTGTTCCCCTGCCCTGACATGAGACCCCACTGCCAAGCATCAGAGACTGGTGGGCTGGTGATGTCAGTGGGATTCCTATTTGAAGCCTAGTCACATATCAGGGACTTTATATCTCCCCTCAAGTAACCCTCTGCAGCTCTGAGACGTTTCCCTATTTTATAGCCTCTGAGGCTGAAGGTTAGGAAGCTGGCCTAAGTCCTACTCTAGTGTTCAGCAGCTGATTTCAAACCCTGGCCCTGCTTGAATTGATACTGGGTCAAGTCACTCTTGGCCTTGGTTTGCCCACCCCATCTGTAAAATGGGGTTTCAATGTCCCACTGGAGTGGCCAGTGCCACTGTGAGGAAGTCTCCAAGCTGGCAGTGAGGAGCCCTCAGTCTCCCTTCCTTACCCCTCCTTTCTATCCTAGGACCTCCTGCAGCTCCAGTATGAGGGTGTGGCTGTCATGAAACTCTTCAACAAGGCCAAGGTCAATGTTAACCTTCTCATCTTCCTCCTCAATAAGAAATTCTTGCGGAAGTGACTGAGGCAGTGGGTGCTACCCATGCTCCTCTTACCTCACTGGATGCTTTTCTGAACACTAACTTACTACTCAGCTTCCCTTCAGACAACCAGAGCTCAGGACTGGGTAGGACTGAGGAGCCTCACCCCTTCCCCAGCTGGAAGGAGTCTGTCTACCTGACTACAGGCAGGGTCTCTAATTGGCTAAGGTGAGCCTTGCCCCAGAGTCTGGCTGTGTGACTTTTAAGTCCCAGAACCCCATGGTTTTCGGGCCAGATGGTCGGGTATGAAGCCAGGGCCTGCCCTTGGGCTGAGGAAGGCTACTGCTCTGATGCCTGTGGCTGCCCTCCCGTGGTGACCCCACTGTCTGATTTCCCTCCACTTTCCTTCCCTGCAACCCCAAAGCCAGGCCAGGGCTCTTCCTTCTCCCCCACTATATCAGCTGTGGATGTTCCTGCCCAGCTGAAGCCCTACTGCTCTGCTGTGCTCCAGCCCTTGTCCATACCCAGGAGGGACAGGCAGTACTTGTTAATGCCCACTGGCACTGTGGCACTGTTGTCCTCCATGACTGCTATGTCAGGATGACCCTCCTTAACCTCAAACCCCATTCCTTTGTTTATGGTCTGTTTTATATGTGGGTCACTGGGGTATTTATTCTCTCCCCAACCCCTGCACTCTGGGCACTGTGCAGTCCTGGTCATGATCTTGATGTTCCATCTTTTTGAACTTGGAGAAGGAGTTCTCATCTCCCCTCAAAATAATATTCATGCCACTCACTCTTTTATACTTGTACTTAAAAGTCACCTTGGGTGAGGGGCAATAAGATCCCCACTCATGTTTAAGATCTCTCTATTTCAGCTTCATGTGATACGAAGAGTAGTCTTCCGCTTTTCTCTTTCACCCTCAGGGCTCTTGCGCCTGAGAACCAACTCTTCCAGGCAACTCCGACAGACCTGCAGTCTTATCTCTCTTTCTTGTCCTCAGCTGCTCAACTTCCTGTCCCTTTTACCCTGATTTTATTTCAATAAAGCAGCTGTTACCCCTACATCAGTTGTTAACCCCTTATTTCATTTCATGAAGAACAGGCCTCCGAGTTCTGGGACAGACTTTCCCTGAGAGTCCAGGAGTCCTTCCTGCTGCTTCTCCAGCCTGTGCCTGCCTCCGTGCAGGCCCACTCTGCCTGCCTGAGCTCGTAAAAGCTTAATGAGATGTGTCCTTTATTCCTCCCTTCCCTCCCCCAGGGGATGGAGAGGAGGAAGGAATGCTTAGGTTTCGATTCTGCTTTTATCGGCCACTCTGAAGACTAAAGCCAAAGAGGAGGAGAAACCAGTCCGAGTTCTACCCCACCCATTTTGCACACATTTCCAGCAGGTTCTTTCCCTGAGCCGTGACTGACAACACCTAAGGTGCTTGAGTGCAGCTCCTTCGGTGTTGTAGGTTCTACATTCTGATTAAGATCCTCTTTCCATAAAGAAAGCCCCTCCCTCCCCGGCCCTCTCTGCTTTCAGGAAGCAGGGAAGGGAATCTGTGGGAAGGGGACAATACAGACACACACCTGCCTCACACCTGAACTCCCAAGCCACCTACAAGTTTGCCTGGCTCAGCCTGCCTCCTGCACTGCGTTCCATTCTGTCACTCAGGATCTGTCTTGCTGTCACATTCAATCTCAGTCATATCCTCTTCCCCCCCTTAACATGTCACAGCAAAGACTTCAAGTCCTGCCTTGCTCTGGGTGACAGTGGATCCAACTTTTTCCACATGAGCAGTCATCATTAAAAATCTCACTTTCAAGGGCCTCCCCGGTGGCGCAGCGGTTGAGCGTTGGGTTGCGAAGCTGCCTGCAGCCTCTGCAGCACCGGTTCGATCCCCGGCTGCTCCCCGGCCACCAGAGGAGGGTCCCGCATGGCGCACAGACCTCTCCTGCCGCCCGCTGCTCCCCTCAGCAGTGTGCTTCGGTCCTTCTGCCTGCTCTGCTTCCCGCTCTGGCTCTGGTGAATTCTCTCACCCTCCCACGCTTCTGACTGTACCCAGTGCTTGTATGTATAAATAAATAAATAAATAAATCTTTTAAAAAATTTTAACAAAAAAAGAAAAAAAAATCTCACATTCACCAGATGACTCCAACACAATCCTGTTATGGCACCCCATAATCGCACAATCCCATTGTGGTACCCCCATAATCACAATTTCAGCCATTTACATACATTGACCCACAACTCTGCAAAGGTAAGAGGTCACCATCTTTGTGTAACAGAGATGAAACAGGTTCAGAGGGTTGGAACATTGCCCAAGGTCACACAGCTGGTAAAGGGCAGAAGGTAGTTTTAAACTCAGGTCCATTAACTCAGCGTTTATATTCTCCTGCATCTTTTTCTTTGAGAAAAAATTCCATTTCCTTCAGCCCCCATTCTTTGCTACTTTATTTCAAGCCTACCCCACTTCATCACATTAGTAATGGTCTCTGATGGGCTTTAGTTCATCAGTGTCCTTTGCTAACCTTCAATGCCCAATCTGAGATACAGATAGCATTGTATCTGTACAATGCTATGTACAGATACACAGATACAGATACATAGCTCCTATGGATGGGAATGTACACCAATGCTATTTCTTTGGAGGACAATTTGTCAATTGTTCAAAATTTACCAAGAATTACCAAAAATATAAGTGCGGGATAATTCAATGAAAGAGTAGTCTTTTCAGCAAATGGTGCTGGGATAAATGGAGACCCACCTAAAAAAGAATTCATTTGGACCCTAACCCCACACCATCTACAAAATTTAAACATTAGAAGTAAGAACTGGGGCCTCCCTGATATTCTAGGGGTTAAGTCTCAGCTCTATCACCACTAAGGCCTGAGATTGATTCCTGGCCAGGGAGCTGACCCACATGGCACAGCAGACCTCTCCTGTCTCACCCGCTGCTCTCCACAGCAGTGTATTTCAGTACATCTGCCTGTTCTGCTCCCCACTCTGTCTCTGGTGAGTCCTCTCACCCTCTCACCTCTGGCCTATACTCCAATTCTTCTATGCCAAAAATAATGTAAGAACTACAACTATAAAACTCAGAAGAAAACACAGATAGGAGTTTTCATGAATTAGGCAATGGTTTCTTAGGACACCAAAAGCACAAGCAACAAAAGAAAAAATAAGACTTCATCAAAGTTAAAAACTTGTGCTTTAAAGGACCCCTTCAAGGAAATGAAAAGACAACTCAGAATAGAAGATATTTGCAAATTGTATAAAGAACTCTTACAACTCAAAAAGACAAACAGACTAAAAATTTGAATAGTCATTTCTCCAAAGAAGATATATAAATGGCTAATAAGCACATGAGAAGATGCTCAACATCATTAGTCATTAGCTAAATGCAAATCAATTCACCTCCACTAGGAATGCTAAAGTAAGCAGACAGGTGTGGAGAAATCACAACTTTCTTATTGCTAGAGAAATTGTAAAATGATGAAGCCACCATAGAAAACAATTTGGCAGTTCCTCAAAATGTTAAACAGTTACCATATAATGCAGCAATTCTCAGTATATACCCAAGAAAATTGAAAGCCTATGTCCATAGAGAAATGTGTACACAAGTGTTCAAAGCATCCTCCTCATTAATAGCCCAAAAGTAAAAATAATCCAAATGTCCATCAAATGATGAATAAACAAAAGGCCACACATGTCCATATAATGAAATATTTTTCAGCCACCAAAAGAAATGAAGCACTGATACATACTACCACATGGAAGAATGGAAAGAAGCCAGTCACAAGGGGCCTCCCTGGAGGCGCAGGGGTTATTTAAGTCTCAGTGCTATCAAGCTATCACCAGCCACTATGACATGAGTTTGATCTCTGGCTATGGAGCTACCCACATGGCGCAGCAGACCTCTCCTGTCTCACCTGCTGCTCCCCTCAGCAGTGTATTTCAGTCAGTCTGCCTATTCTGTCCCCCACTCCGTCTCTGATGGATCCCTTTACCACCACCACCCACACTTCCGGCCTGCACCCCAAATCTTGTATGCATAAATAAAAACAAGTCTTTAAAAAAAAACAAACCAGTAGCAAAAGATCATATCATGTGATTTCATTGATAATGAAATGTCCAGAATAGACAAATCCGTAAGAACAGAAAGTAGTGTCTGTCAGGATTAGGGAAAAGGAGGGTATGGAGTAACTGCTCATGGGCATTGGGTTACTTTTTGGAGCGATGGAAATGTTCTGTAATTAAATAGTGGTTATTGCACAGCTCTGCAAATATAGTCAAAACCACTTAATTGTATAAAAGAGTGAATTTCAGGGTATGTTGAGTTGCATTTCAACAAAGTTATTTTTTTCAATGACAGTGCACATGCCCAGCAAGGAATTTCTCCTACATTTACACCTGGATTAGGGGCTAGGAGCTCTGGAGTATGTGTTCAGTATTGATTGCAATGATCATAGTAGGGCAGCCCACACATGAAACATGATGCAGACAATTAAAACGATGACTAAAAAAAAAACCAAAAAACAAAAAATGATGACTAGGTCTGTGGGTACTGACATGTAAAGCTGTCAGTGGTATAAGCTGTTTGAAATAGGCTCAAGAAACTTGGCAGCGATCACCTTTGGAGAGTAGGAATGAGAAGTATCTTTCTGTGCTGTTATTACAATGAAGCTTGCCATTCTTATGAAAAAGAAAGAACGCACTGGTGGTAGAGCTGATGTGTGAGCACATGGAGTGGTGTCTCCGTTCCTTGAGCGTGTCTCAAAAGTAGGCACCGCAAGCTATTCCTGGTCAGCTACCAGAGAGCTGCAGAGATTGAAAACAAGCAGTTAGAAAATTATGGCCAGCTCCAGTAATTTTATCCTTGAATCTAATAATAAAAAAATCAATTTTAGATTTTATAGGGGTCTCATTTTTCTGGTAACTAGGTTTTATTGTATTTTAAGAAAATATCAGTCCCAAATAGGTTAGAAAAAAAATTTAATATATAGTTTTATTTATTTATACATACAGGAACTGGGGTGCAGGCCAGAATGGGGGGGGTGAGAGGATTCACCAGAGTGGGGGAATGGAACAGACAGATCTACTGAAATACACTGCTGAGGGGAGCAATGGGTGAGACAGGAGAGGTCTGCTGTGCCATGTGGGTTGCTCCCTGGCTGGGGATCCAACTCATGCCACAGTGGCTGGCAATAGCTTGATAGATAGAGCTGAGATTTTAACCAGGGAGGCCCCAGGTTAGAAATTTTTTAAATCTTCCTCTACTACCATTTGAAAGTAACTGTTCTAGAAGACATACTTTTAGGAGTGTGACCTATGAATGCATTAGCATTGTTGAATTAAACTAGATAGACATAGCTGATATCACACTGTATACCCAACTTTGGTTCTCCTTTGTTCATTTAGCCAAGAGAAACATCATTCTATGAATTCAAAATTTCTTCTGAAACACTCTTAATGTCTATCATACTGCCCACATATCTAATATATGTAACAATCCTACAATATTGAGCCACCTGTTTTCTGTGTTCACTATTATAAATAATTCTGTAGTGGATATCTTTGTGTACAAGATCTTTATTTACATTTCTTATCTCCTTAGAATGCTAGAATAGAAATTACTAGGTCAAAGAGTATGAACTTTTAAATATATGTTGGTTTTTGCTGAGTGTAATGCATATTTATTATAGAAAATTTAGAAAATATTTTTTAAAGATTTATTTATGCATACAAGAGCTGGGCCAGAGGTGCAAGGGGTGAGAGGATTCACCAGAGACAGAGTGGGGAGCAGAATAGGCGGATTTACTGAAATACACTGCTAAGGGGAGCAGCAGGCGAGACAGGAGTGGTCTGCTGCGCCCTGCTGCAGAGGCTGCTGATAGCTTCACAGTGCTATGCTTAAGCCCTTGTGCTACCAGGGAGGCCCAGAAGACATATCTTCATAGTAAATGGAATGTATCCATTTACTTAATCTGTCCTATATAAAATAACCATTTAGATTGCTTCAGATTTGACACATAAAAGAAATTCTTGGTCGTAGTCATGTGCTGGGGTTGCTCTTTCTGGATCTCTTCCTTTAGGGAACAGGTCCTCCCTCCTTCCATGTGACTAGTGGGGTTAACACATCAGACTCCCTTCCTCTCTGATGTGGGAATATAAATTCTGAGGGCAGCACCCAGGAAGGGAAGCCAGTTGGAGCTGAGTCACCAACTGGCAGCACCCCAGAAAGACAGTCACCAGTTTCTGGCACTGGGATACCCAGAGGAGTCAGGGTGTCATCTTTCCCAGATCAAATCTCCTCACTCCTCTCACAACCCAGAGTGCTACTCAGCATCTCCCAACAAATCCCTGCTTGCTAAGCTCCTCAACCACATGCTTTGTTCTTTACAAAGATTCTTTCCTGGTTCATCCTTGTACCAAAATCCTTGTGCCCATGTTTATTTTCTTGAACTGTATTTCTAGAAGGGAAGCTGCTATATCAAAGGGTGTGCCCTTTATAAAGGATCTTCTTACATTGGGCTAAGGCCCTCCAGAAGATACATACCAAATAACAGAAAGAGAGAGGGCATAGAAAACGAGGGAAAGCTGAAACATCCTACTAGAGTCAGTCATCCCGGGTCCAGAAAGAAGCCTGTCCTAATGCTGGCAATGAACATACACCCGCCCTTGCTGGGGCTTGTGAAACCTCACTGTTGTCTTTCCACCAGTGTGGCCAGAGGGTCCCTTTCTCAGCAAGGAACATACACATTTAGCAAATGTGGATTGCCAAATGCAATATGGCGCCTTGGACTGGATCCTGGAACAGAAAAAGAAGACATT